TTTTTCAAAGAATGAATGACCTCACTAATAGAACTCCACACTGCTATTATTTTGAACATGCCCCTTTCAATTAGTGATTCAATTACACAGAATCAGCAGCATGCATGTCATGACTGTTGGGTCTGTTGGATTTCTATTACTCTACTATACCTGCTAGTAAATTATTTGCCATGTAGAAATATCATTTCTACCAAAAACAGTGATTGATCAGGTTAGTGATGTCTGACTGCTATTATTTTGAACACAACTGTATATGAATGTGGTGCGTGTGGAGTCTCACACAAATGTCAAAAAGTCCCTATAGGTCAGTTGAAGAAAGGCTTGTATATAGGGACCCTTTGATTGTGCAGGGAAAAAAAAAAAAAAAAAAAAGTGGACTTATGTTTGAACCCTGAATGTCTAATGTCTGGGTCTAAGGGTTCTGGAGGTTGAGGTTGGGGAAAAAAAAAGCACATTGAGTTGCAGTTCAGTGAGTAAAACAAGTATTAGGCAGCACAGTGGCTAAATGGTTAGCACTTCTGGCAGTACTAGGGTAATTGGTTCAAATCCCAGCCATGGCACCTCCCGCCTGGAGTTTGCATGTTCTCCCTGTGCTTGCGTGGGTTTCCTCCGGGTTATCCTGTTTCCTCCCACACTCCAAAGACATGCTGGTAGGTGAATTGGATCCTGTCTAAATTGTCCCTAGTATGTGTATGTATGAATGTAAGTTAGGGACCTTAGATTGTACACCCCTTGAGGGTTAGGGACTGATGTACTATATATGTAAAGCGCTGCGTAAATTGACAGCACTATAAGTATCTGAAATAAATATTTGGTCCCCAAGCAAAACATGACTTCATACTTTGTGGAGAAACCCTTGTTGGTAAACACTGAGATAAGATGTTTCTTGTAGTTGGTTACCAGGTTTGCACACATTTCAGGAGGGATTTTGGGCCACTCTTTACAGGTCTTCTCTAAAGCCTTAAGGTTTCTTGTACGTTGCTTGGCAACTTGAAGTTTCAGCTCCCTCCATAAATTTTCTATAGGATTAATGTCTGGAGACTGAGTAGGCTACTCCATGACCTTAATGTGCTTCTTCTTGAGCCACTCTTGATGCCATGGCAGGATATATTCAGTCATGCTGGAAGACCCATCTTCAGTGTCCTGGGAAGAAGGTTCTCATTTAAGATCTTACAATACATGGCCACATCCATTGGCCCCCTCAATGCAGCAGAGTCCGCCTGTACCTTTAGCAGAAAAACAGTCCCAAAGCATAATGGTTTTAACTCCATGCTTAACTGTAGGGATAGTGTTCTCAGGGTCATAGTCAGCATTTTCCTTCCTCCACATACAGAGTCTGGTGTTAATACCAACAAGCTCAATTTCAGTCTCCTGCCTACAGCACTTTCTCCCAATCCTTCTCTGAATCATTTAGATGTTCATCAGCAAACTTCAGAAGGGACTGTACATGTGCCTTCTTGAAGGAGGGCACCTTGCAGGCACTGCAGGATTTCAATCCATGGCAGAATATTGTGTTACCAATGGTTTGTTTGTGAATGATCTCAAAGCAGTTGGGAGGAGTTTGGTAACTGTTGGTCCCATGTAGTTCTGGGCTGATTCCTCACTTTTCTCAATCATCCTTACCTCATGAGGCAAAAATCTCAGATGGAGCTCCAGACCAAGGCTGATTGGTTATGTTGTATTGCAAATATTCACTTCAACACTTGTCTCCTTCTGCCCAAGCTGATATTCTTATAGCACATTCCAGCCTTATGCAGGTCTACAATTTCATCCCCGACATCCTTTGACCATTTGCCCATGGTGGTGCAGTTTGAATGGAAGAAAGTTTGTTGACAGGTGCTTTATACACAATGAGTTGGCATTAAGAGCACCTTCTGTGTACAACGTGAGAACATAGCCAGTCTGTGGGAGCCAGAATTATTGTTGGTTAGTAGGGGATCAAATACTTATTTTACTCACTGAACTGCAACTCAATTTATAACATTTGTATGGTGTTTTTTCTGGATTATTGGCTGATATTTTGCCTCATTTAAAATACACCTATGATAAAAATACTTATAGACCCTTCATTTCTTTAGAAGTGGGCAAACTTACAAAATCTGCAGGGGATCAAATAATTATTTTCCCCACTGTATAACCCATCAGTTTTGATTCAAGACCTGTGTTCTCTACTGCAATTAAGAAAATGGGGAAAAAAATTTGCAAACAAAACCTTCCAACGGGAGCACTTAGAGGCATTTTAACTTTAACATGAATGTCACTGACTGGACACCAAACCCGCCTGCATGTAACAGAAGTAAATGATGTATAGACAGACACAAAAACACAGGAATCATTTCCATCACTGTGTCACTTTATTCTCCTTGCAGGCTACAAATGGCACAGCATAGAAAGACAGCATGACGGAAATAATTTAGCTGACGTCTTCAACACTCTCCCTATTTCCTCTGACATAATAGAGGGATCAAAATCCCAGCAGTTCTAGGAGACAAGTCAGGGAAGTTCAGAAAAAAAAAAAAAAAAAAAAAATTAGAGGCCAGAGATAGTTTGACTACCAGCAGCAGGTGATAGTAGCTTAAGAGCAGTTTACAATCTCAGTTGACTAACCCACCTCCAGCTCTCAAAACGCAAGGATTGCATAGGATGCCAGAAGCAGAAAGTGTCTGTCCGATCCTTTTAAATCCTGGCAAGAGAAACAAATTGCACTTCTACCAACTTCAGAAGCAACTGTTTAGTTACAATGCCCATGTTTTTCCCAGCATCTGAAAGAAAATACTTCCATCACAGCCTGCAATTAGTGCAATCATCTTCCAATTTGCCAAGAGTGCAGTGGGAGAAGAGACATGCAATTGGCAGCTGTTAGCAAGTGTGTACATTTTTCTTTTTTTTTTTTTGCAGATAAAGGCCCAGTGTAACATGGGAAAGCTTTTATGCAGTTCATTTTTTAGTAATCCACTTAATCTCAGCACAAAGAAGCACTGGCTTGTGCATATCTCTGTAATGAAGACCCTGATTAAAGTTCTGCAAACATGCTGTGACAAGATAAACCAGTTCATTACATTTCTAATTTCAACTCTATGCTTTTCAGAATTTAGAACACATTCGGTTAAAAAAAAAATAATTCTAACAACTGTCACAAAGTTTGTGTACCACAGGTACATGACTGCATGTTACAGAGTGGTCTATCCAACTCATTCCAGACCTGGACAGAAAGAGGAAGGGGGAGATAAATAAATGGGTACTTTAGTAAAACAAATCCCTTTCACAAAACAAAACAAACACAAGATGGAGGGTTGGGGATGTTTGACACCATTTTATTAATGTTTAACTGCAGTGAAAAAATAGAACCTTGTACAAGTGCCATGGTCCAACGTACATCCAGTCCGTATCTATAATATATACTTTTTTTCCTCCCCATTTCACTTTGACTATTTTAATTAGTTTTCCTTTATGTTTAAGTGCAGGAAATTGAATATCACATTAGTCTCTGAAATAAAAGTTGCACGCGCTATAGCATCAATGTTTTCATTAATCTAAGCCTGGGTCACCCATACACTACTGTACAGCCATTTTGTTTGCTGCGCTAAAATACAATGCAGCCAATCTTTCTACACAGGACCATTAAGCCTAGAGGGCTGTAGTCTCCATTTACTCAGAATGCTGCCTCTTGAATAACCAAAATGTCTGTTTCCAATGTATGTAGGGCGAGAAGTACTTCAAACATTGTCGATTAAACCATTTCAGTGCCAAGAGAGGGGCTTGGTACAAGCCACAGAGAGAACACAATATGTGTAGTAGTGTTGCACCACAGCACCTCCTGGCTGCAGGAAGGGGTCATTTCACATTCTGAGCTTTTTTTTTTTTTTTCTCTTTGGCACGTTTTAGGGACAGGGTTACTTTTAAATCCTTGGGCAGAGGGAAAGTGGACACCTCTCCCAAGTTTTCCACAAATATTTCAATGTTGGATTACAAAAAGGATGGGAAAATTCTGCACGGTACCTGTGGGATGATTTCATATTTTCCAAATCTAACTCCTCCCTGCTCCTGGTCTGATTCACAGATCGACAAAAGTAGATTTACGCTACAGGCTTTAGTTTTATCAAGGGACTAAATGTCCTAGCCAGTGTTTCCATTAACTGCTTCCCTGCCAGAAACACCTCTGTGTTGTGCAAGTCTCTGGAAGAGAAACAGTTAAAAAAAAATTTGATAGCCTAGAGAACCAGATCTTAATGTTGAAATCTAGAAACTTTTGCCTTGTGCACCTGGAAAAAAAATGCTCCTCCTGATGGTACCAGAAGCTTTTTGGAACACTGAACATCTTTTCTTCTGAACCAGAATAAACTGTATGAAGCTCAGATTGTAGACACTGCTAAACCTCTGCACTCACACACACTCACTCTGAGAATCCTTTCGCTCAGGTCCCCCTGCACTAAGGAGATAGGCAATGCAGCAACAGACCACTGCTGCGTATCTTTATACAGCAAGGGGCATTGGAGAAAAAAAAAAAAAAAAAAAGAAAAGAAAAAAAAAAAAAGGCCAGATGTAACAATGAACTATAAAATAAAGTTACACCAGTCACTCCTGCTCTGCTGCCCAAGGCCACAAGGCAGTGGTGCAAGCAGACATAGAATTAGTGAAGACCCACAGGCCCTTGCTCCTCTCAGCTGGTGGGCGGGCAAAGTGACAGCTCTCACCCCCTTTCTCCCAGGAAGTCTGCTCTTCTCACAGCACCGCTGTGGTCGCGTTTATCCATGTGGTATGTTTGAAGCTTCACTCAGTCACTCTCTCACTCTCAAACATTCAGTAACCGCTCACACTCCTCGCTTCCGGGATATAATTTTTTTTTTTCAAAGAAGTTGGAGATTTCCAGTGGGTTGTCAGCTTCACCCAGCCGCTATGGTCTAAAAAGAGAATACACAGAAAAAAAAACAAAAAAAAACCGTTAAACAGGAATACAAAATATCAAAACATCACTTTCCCTGCCATATTATTCTACCCACCAGGCTTGATTTTTTAGCTTTCGTAGTTCCTTGGTGGCCCAGGTAGCAAGTGTTTTTGTCTTGTTCGTCTTTGATCGTCTACCCTCTGTTAGCAAGTCATGGATCATTGGCGAGTTTCCACCAACTTTACCACGTCCTTTCCAAATGCGGTGCATAAATCTCTGTTGGGGCAAAAAGGAACATGAAACCACTTTCGTCTTAAGTACAGCAACCAGTTCACTTTACTGCCACCATAACTAGAGGCATGTGAGAGCGCCACCATCACTAGAGGCATGTGAGAGCGCCACCATCACTAGAGGCATGTGAGAGCGCCACCATCACTAGAGGCATGTGAGAGCGCCACCATCACTAGAGGCATGTGAGAGCGCCACCATCACTAGAGGCATGTGAGAGCGCCACCATCACCAACGGCATGTGAGAGCGCCACCATCACCAACGGCATGTGAGAGCGCCACCATCACCAACGGCATGTGAGAGCGCCACCATCACCAACGGCATGTGAGAGCGCCACCATCACCAACGGCATGTGAGAGCGCCACCATCACCAACGGCATGTGAGAGCGCCACCATCACCAACGGCATGTGAGAGCGCCACCATCACCAACGGCATGTGAGAGCGCCACCATCACCAACGGCATGTGAGAGCGCCACCATCACCAACGGCATGTGAGAGCGCCACCATCACCAACGGCATGTGAGAGCGCCACCATCACCAACGGCATGTGAGAGCGCCACCATCACCAACGGCATGTGAGAGCGCCACCATCACCAACGGCATGTGAGAGCGCCACCATCACCAACGGCATGTGAGAGCGCCACCATCACCAACGGCATGTGAGAGCGCCACCATCACCAACGGCATGTGAGAGCGCCACCATCACCAACGGCATGTGAGAGCGCCACCATCACTAGGAGCCAAGGAAAAGCCACAAAATGCTCAGATCGTATGATTCACTCCCCTCCTGTAACAGTGCTGATGCTAGCCCCAGTCTGTTCAAGTCATTGTGAGCTTTCACAGGCTTCCTTTCTTTGCTCTCAGTAGCTACAGTACATGCACAAAGCACAGTTTTGCTTTAACCGCTTGCTGACCGCGCACTGTAGTTTTACTGATACAGAGAGCTGGTTGCACAGAATTACTTATATAGAAGCATTTATTTCCACATAGTGGGGACACACATGCACCCAGCTGGTTGTGCTCTCACTGACTCCCTTGTGTGGATCAACACAGCAGATGACAGGAGAGAGATCTGTGGTGGTAAATAGACCACCACCGTGGGGATAAAAATCATCACATCCCCTAGTGTGTAAAAAAAACAAAAAAAAAAAAAAAAAAAAAAAAAACACAGTTAACCCTTTGATTGCCCCAAATGTTAAAATGCCTACCTAATTACATTAGTACAGTGACAGCATATTAGCACTGATCACTGTATTAGTGTCACTGGTGAAATCAGTGTCAGATTGCCTGCTGCACTATCACAGTCCCGTTAAAGATCTTTGATCACCGCCATTGTGTATATAGGAATTCTCTTCTATACACGCGTAGATGTTTTAACTTTTGCGCAAACCAATTAACCATTTGCAGTCCGGACACTTTTACCCCCTTCCTGTCCAGGCCAATTTTCAGCTTTCAGCGCTATCATACTTTGAATGCAACACTGTACCCATATGAATTTAGCATTTTTTTTGGAGACAGATAAAGCTTTATTTTGGTGGTATTTATTCACCACTGGGATTTAATTTTTTTTTGCTATGTAAACTAAAAAAGTCCAAACATTTTGAAAAAAAAAAAGTGTTTTATAAAATTTTGCAAATAGTATTTCATCATAAATCTTAGCCAAAATTTATTCCGTTATACTGTTAGTAACCCAAATTAGTTTATAACCAAAAATTTTAATTTTTAAACTTTAAATTTTATTTTATTTTTTACATACTGTCACCCTAGCAGTACAGTGTCAGCATGGTGACACTGTACTACTTGTGGGGGGGGGGGGGGGGGGGGTGATTTTTTTTTTTTTTTTTTTACACTGATTGCCTTTATATCCTTTATGGGTGTAAAAGCAATCATTTCTCCTTCTCTCCAGCTGCATTCTTGCAGCCATTGAGAACTACTGAGTGAGCTGTGATTGGTCACAACTTGTCACATGGTACAAGGCTGTTGTGAATAGCCTTGTACCATGTGACCTCTGATCATTCACAGATTTCACACGTAGTAAGCAATGATGTCAGAAGTGACATCTTGCTTACTACTCTGCATGTGACTGGTCAATCAGTGATCACATGATCGGGACCTCGCACAGAGGTCCCGTCCAACGATCGGTGTTCCACTGTGTCCGGGCGGGCAATGGATTGCGGCGCTGTGTGCTCCCAGGGAGCGCGCACAAGCAGGGCTGTTTATAAACAGCCACCCGACCCTGCAGTGCCATATACACACACAACGGCCGGACGGGAAGTGGTTAATATACAGTTATTGGGATCGATTTGTTTTGTTTTACCAAAGATGTAGCAGAATACATTTTGGCCTAAATTTATGAAGTTATTTTTTCTTATTGGATATGTTTTATAGAAAAAAGTAAAAAATGTGTTCAAAGTTGGTCTTTTCATAGATTTCTGTGAAAATAAAAAAAGGATATAAAAATGTAATTTGTGTACTGTTGCATGACTACAAAAAATTGTCAGTTAAAGCAATGCAGGTGATTGTGGTTAATGAGAGAAAACTGCTACAGGTATGTGCAAACACCGGTGGGTGCATGTACTGTATTACTTTATGTCCTAATTTTTTTTATATACAAAAAGCAAAATGACCAACACCTAGGTTTGCTCTCAATGCAAGAAAATCTTGTCAGCCAAGATAACTATATGGCCTCATGCACACTAGGCAGCAAAAACACCACTTTTAAAGGCATTTGACAATTTATGCATCTAAGTGCCCTTCCAGGTTATAGGCCATATGCACACATAGGTGTTTACAGGTGTTCAGCGACAGGAGCATTTTGGAGGCAGGACAAAAAAGAAAACAAAAAACCACCACACCATTGCTTGAGCACTCAGGAGAGGAGCGGTTCAGCAGAAAAATGCCCAATGCATCTAAAAACGCCAAACATGTAGAGCGTTTAGTGCATTCCATCAGCCAAAATATTTTTTTTGGACATTAAATCAGAATGAACGCCCAAACGTGCTTGCAAAATGAGACTTTTCTCCTACCAGGACAAAAAGCATTCAGAAGAGCTGGGCAAATGTCACGAGTGAAACTTTGTTAGAATGAGAAACGGCAACTGTTGACTCATGCCTACTACCATATCAAGTAGAAAGTTCCAGGAAAACCTAAGCTCCTATGTCCTGCTCCTTAGTAGTCTGATTTAGGCAGCAGAGCTCAAGAAAAAAAAAAAAAAAAAAAAAAAAAAAAAAAAATACATTTCAGGCTCAAGATACCTGTCCATAAGTAAGCACAAAACCTCAAAAACGCACACAGGATTTCAATTTCCATAAAATTGGAGTTGATCCACATTATCTTCTAGAAAACCCCTTTACACCCAAATGGACAATAAACTGAAAATATGTTGCCAACAGTGCAAGACCAGACATCATGAAGAGCAAATCAATAGCTTATTTACAAAAACAGGATTATTTGTACGCTCTTAGCCTTATCCATTAGTTACAGTACAAAGCGCTGAATACTCAACCTGTGGTTATACTGCTATCTGTAGGAGGCTGGGAGAACTACAAAAATTGAAAAAGGGGCCAGCCACACAGAGCACAGAGGGTATGCCTCCACTTGTGATGAACTAGCACAGGAACGACCGATGAACTAGCACAGGAACGACCGATGAACTAGCACAGGAACGACCGAAACTAGCACAGGAACGACCGATGAACTAGCGCAGGAACGACCGATGAACTAGCACAGCGACCGATGAACTAGCAAGGAACGACCGATGAACTAGCGCAGATGAACGCACAGGACCGATGAAACTAGCGCAGGAACGACCGATGAACTAGCACAGGAACGACCGATGAACTAGCGCAGGAACTAGCACAGGACGATGAACTAGCGCACCGATGAACTAGCACAGGAACGACCGATGAACTAGCACAGGAACGAGCGATGAACTAGCACAGAACGACCGATGAACTAGCACAGGAACGACCGATGAACTAGCACAGGAACGAGATGAACTAGCACAGGAACGACCGATGAACTAGCACAGGAACGACCGATGAACTAGCACAGGAACGACCAAAAGTATGCTGGTTCCTTCTTGGATGAAGCGAGAAGCTCACTGCATTGCAAACAGGATTCCTGTTTCACAAAAGTTAGTCTCGGACCAGGAATCACACAAGGTGATTTTACAGGAGGGACATTTCCTCCTACATGGAGAAGAGTGTGCTTTTTTCGATCGTTTTAGTCTGACTAGACAGAAGTGACAAAAAAAAAAAAAAAAAAACCACACACATTATTCCTAAACAGAACAAGCCCCTCCAATATGAAAGCAAACAGCCTCAAAGAATAAATGCCAGCCATCCAACTAAATTCCACAGAGAAGTAACCTTGGAAATGCAGCGCATAGGGAAGAAACCAGCCCTTAGGTACAAACTGGAGCCCTGGCTGGTGCCTGTGGCTCCTGCTCCCGCCACTGGTTCCACCGAGTCAATAGTTAGAGGGCATAGTGGAAATCCTTGGGCTGTTTAAATTTCCTGGTCTTTTTGCGAAGACCGAAATTGCACACCAGCTGGCGCCCACCCCTTCTTCCTGTGCTCCAGCAGCCGGAACCAGAAATTTCATGCGCCCAGCTGAAAACCACCTCATCCAGATGTGACCAGGAACACTGGAAAGCCGACACATAGCAGTCCCCAGCCTCGGCGCCGCCGAGGAAAGACCTTCAGCCAGCCAGAGCTCTCGCTGGACTTGGAGGATAGAAAATCACCTCCTCACCCATTTGGGGGCCATCCCAGTACCCCTCTATCAAAAAAAAAAAAAAAAAAAAAAAAAAAAAAAAAGCTTCAAATCTTGTCCACACCTGTAGAAAGCGTAGCTTCCACCATTGTGGAGGAAACACTACAACTGAGGCCATGGTGGAAGTGTCCTGCCTTTTAAAGATAAGACTGCAGTATTTCCAGGGAAGTGGGTGGAGCTACACTCTTTACAGGTGCTGTCCTGAAAGATTTGGGGGAAAATGCACATGGTCAGTCTGAACTAGGCTTTAGGCCCTACTCACACTGGCATTAAAAGCAAGAGTTTGGGGCGCAGTAAAATCAGTCTGTATATGCAGTAAAGCATGCTCATTATAATCACTGTGGAACCTAAGGGGTTAATACTCTGCATTGTGTAAAAAAAGGCTGTTTGATCCCGTCTTCTCTGCCCCTCCTCTTGTTGAAATGACCACCTGATACAAACTGAGCAGGTGCATGTGACCACAGATTCAGTTTGGTGTGTATTGCTAGAGGTTTTTTTTCTCTTGGGAGGGTGCATGTGATCAGCACACGGCTAATCAGCACTGTCCAGACAGAGGGTCAGAGGTTTCACATCCTCCTGGAGCAGAAAGAAAACTCCTCCTACAAGCTTTAACCACTGCTCTGCTGAAGTCACCAGACTACTCTAACTGCTGGTGAGAAAGATATTTAGTTCATATTTACTAAAAATAACTGCATTTCCTTATTGTGTGTACTGTGGGAGACCAGATAGTGAATGCAGGGTCCTGGGAGACCAGATAGTGAATGCAGGGTCCTGGGAGACCAGATAGTGAATGCAGGGTCCTGGGAGACCAGATAGTGAATGCAGGGTCCTGGGAGACCAGATAGTGAATGCAGGGTCCTGGGAGACCAGATAGTGAATGCAGGGTCCTGGGAGACCAGATAGTGAATGCAGGGTCCTGGGAGACCAGATAGTGAATGCAGGGTCCTGGGAGACCAGATAGTGAATGCAGGGTCCTGGGAGACCAGATAGTGAATGCAGGGTCCTGGGAGACCAGATAGTGAATGCAGGGTCCTGGGAGACCAGATAGTGAATGCAGGGTCCTGGGAGACCAGATAGTGAATGCAGGGTCCTGGGAGACCAGATAGTGAATGCAGGGTCCTGGGAGACCAGATAGTGAATGCAGGGTCCTGGGAGACCAGATAGTGAATGCAGGGTCCTGGGAGACCAGATAGTGAATGCAGGGTCCTGGGAGACCAGATAGTGAATGCAGGGTCCTGGGAGACCAGATAGTGAATGCAGGGTCCTGGGAGACCAGATAGTGAATGCAGGGTCCTGGGAGACCAGATAGTGAATGCAGGGTCCTGGGAGACCAGATAGTGAATGCAGGGTCCTGGGAGACCAGATAGTGAATGCAGGGTCCTGGGAGACCAGATAGTGAATGCAGGGTCCTGGGTTTAGCATCACTTTAACCGCTTCCCAAAATTGTTCTATTCAAGGCATGCCGTGAAGATTAACTGTCAAGCCATCAAATGGCTGGTGTCATTAACTGATCACAAGTGCAACACCATGGCAATCGCATTATCAGTGGTTAAGATGGCAGATTCTTTGGTTGTGAATAGAAGGGTTTAGATACACTTTAATTGCAGTCCTATTCTAATGTGTTATTCTGAGCCAAATCTGTCACTACCTAGGCAATGTATAGGCAAATACAGGTCACAGTTGCAAGCCTGCTTCAGTATAAGGCAATCTTAAAATCGGTTACATCTTGTTGGTCAGATCCCAAAAAGGAAGCATCTTTAAACCATATAATGGTTGACTTGTTCAGACAAGAGACTAGTGGTTCCAATGAAAGGTGGAGTGGTTTACATCTTAGGCCTTGTTCACATCATACATGCACAAAAACTGATGGAAACTGATGTGTAGATTTCACTTGCAGAGACGTCAGTTTCCATGCACGCTTCAATGAGTTTTATAAAAATTTGCAGATTCCTGCACAGACTACACCTTGGTGTGAAAGAACCATAAGTGTGATCCTCAGAAAAGGAATACAGCAGTGCAAAGCCACAGCAGATTTTAGTCTCATGAGAAGGTAGAACAGGCTTGCTCCTGAAAGCATAAGGATCAAACCAAAAGTGTTACTAAACCCATGACTTTGCTTTCACTATATCTGATCTCCCAAAGCACAGAGAACATAGAAATGCAATTTTATTAAATATAAAACAGACTGATTTTACAGTAACACTTTAAATGTTGTAATATCCACTTGAATGAGACTCACGATGGTCTCTCACCTAGAAGAAAAGGATTCAGAGTTTGTCTTCACTCAAAAGCTGAGGAGACTCCACTGTGGAGTCGTCGATAAGAGAAGGCAAGCCTATCAAATTTAAGTAAACCTGCTTATTTAGGGACAGAATCTAGAAGAGATAGGGGACAATTGGGATGGGTGGGGGTGCTTTTTGCAGCTTGCCCCAGACCCGAGACACAAACTCCATGATCTGCAGCACCAACCACAAGTATGCCCTGAAGGCTCCAAAGTGGTGCGTCCGAGGCGGATGTAAAAGCAGGCAGCTCAGAAAAAGGACCTGCAGGCACAAAGTCAAGACTGAATCTCTCCACACAATTCTAGATAACCAGTACCCCCTATTAGTTTTAGATTGCAACGCTTTTATAGATGGTGGTATACCCACAGGTCAGGAATATTCAGCACCATAATCTCCAATGATCATTACTGCAAATAGCATTTACTAGGCTAAGAAAGCTAATATTACTTACCCAATAAGGCCAGCCCCACAGGCCACCACACTGTCTGTGTGATCCTCATCTGAAGCGATGTGATCGATAAATGACAGAATAAACTCCACACGTGGCTGTACTAGCATCACATCAGCTTAAGAAGAGGGGGAAAAAAATAAAATAAAAGTTACATAAAAGAAACAGGTTTACTCAAAATCTAAGTCAAATCTCAAGACAAAAACCATGAAAAGCAACCATTGCTCCATAAAGTGTAAAAAAATAATTGATTTGCCTGTAAATTCCATATCTGAGTACAGTACAGAAAGCATATTCATACACCAAGGGATACAGGCATGTACCTTCATGTGACAGGCCAGTTCCTGAAAGTGGAAGTAAAGGCAAAACCCCACTCATTCTAAACCTACTCTCAACCATACTCTAAGCCTAATTTATCTAGCCCTGTATAAAAAAAAAAAAAAAAAAAAAAAAAAACCACCACACACTAATGTAATGTATATATACATACATATACACACACACACACACACACACACACACACACACACACACACACACCACCAGTCTAGTCTCGAGCAATGCCCTCTGTGTGCAGGAGACAACCAACGGCTGAAAAATGCCTAGAAAGCGACATCACCCACCCACGGTTACAATGGGGCTTGTGTGTTGGCTGCCTCTCCTACACATTGATGCCACCAACCGCTTAACGTGGGACTGGACCGTAGCAGTCGCACAACAGGTAACTGTTTAGTGTTAGGTTTTGCCTGTATTTCCACAAGCCCTGGGTGCCATCCCTATAATCCTACCCCCTCAAAGTCCTCAATTTCATAACAAGCAATGGAGAGGAAATGGGGGAATGGAAGGAAGGGTCATCTGTTCTGTACCTCAAGATATATTTACAGGCAAGTTAAAATTCCTCTTACCTTAAATCTTACAGTACAGGAAGATTAATACACCACAGGATACCCCAAGCATTGAATAGGAAGGGTGGTAACAATGAGGCAAACAGAACTGTCAGGAGACCACACCAGAGCCTCTGCAACAACCTTGCTGCCAAAAGCTGCATAGGCAGAAGATTGGGCGTCCACCTGGTAAAACTGAAAATTAAACTGTTGCAACGCCATATCATAAATCACCTACACCATAAATTCATACCGGTGCATAAAAATTCATACAAAAATACCACAAACATGAAATTCAAAAAAAACTTTGAAATTACTAAAGTCCCATTTGGTAAAGTCTAACTAAACAAGGCTAAATGAGTAAAGAGCTATACCAAAAGTCCAAATTGGGTGCAAGACCAAGGAGAGTGGAAGACTGAGCTCCAGCCAGATGGATGGAAGCATGTAGTGTGTGCCTCACTAGCTCTGCCACTGCATACCGCCCATTCCACCATCCACATCTTAATTAAAAATAAAATTGATCTACAGCAGTTCTTACCATCATCCAGTCATATCAAAACAGCATACAAAAAAAAGGAAGGCGAACTCATGGTGCAGTAAAAAAGGAACACGATTAATTGAAAAACAAGGCAAATACACAAAATGGAAAGCATAACAGCATATCAAATTTAAGTAAACCGCAAGGGACAAATCACCTCGACGGGGACAATGGTGGGGGTCACTTTTGCAGCTGTAACTCTAGCCAACGCGTTTTCTGTCCAAAGGGACAGTCACTGGGGCAAAGGAGAGTTGGAGAAAAAAAGTATTGTCCGCTGCACTGAGAAACCGCGTCAGCAGTTACATCGGTGACATCACCAATGCCTGCCGGGGTGCTGGATGCAAATTTACAGGATATGCGGTTACACTTTCATTCTATGTTTGAAATTAACAGTCTTCCCTTTATTGTACCATGAGAGATCTGCTTCCTTTTACATGTGCTGGTTTGAGGTGAATGGATGACAGTAAGAACTGCTGTGGATCAATTAGATGTGGATGGTGGCATAGGCAGTATGCAGTGGCAGAGCTAATGAGGCACACTACGCACTCTTCCATCCATCTACTTGGAGCTCAATCTTTCACTCATCCACCTATTTTTACACCAAGCCTTGAGCAGGACAGGAGGCAATCATTCATTCAAGGATTTCACCCTACAGTGTAGCAGGACCTCCCTTAATTTGAGGTCAAATGGTCTGGTAAGCAGCTTTGAGTTGTTTGGTGGCATCTACAGTGCTGAACTTCCAGGATCACTTGGGTCATCTCCTTGCTCTTTACTTGCACCTTATGTGGACTTCTGGTATAGCACTTTACTCATTTAGACTTGTTTCATTGGATTTTAATTTAATAATAAAACACTTTATGAAGGTTAGGTTTGTGGTGCATTTTGTATGATTTTTTTTAATATAATGATTTATGATCTAGGTGATTTATGGTATGTCAGCACAACAGTTTATCCAATTTGTTTATACCAAGGGTGATGATATTGTAAGTGCATAGGACATTGGTCATTTTTTTGGTCATTTTTAAGATTGTGTAGGTTAGTGACACTTTAGCACAGAATGTCAGTTTTATATTTTATTTTTGTGAAAATGTATATACCGTATTTGCCGGCGTATAAGACGACTTTTTGACCCTTGAAAATCTTCTCAAAAGTCGGGGGTCGTCTTATACGCCGGTACACATGTTAGGGGGGCTGCGGCATTAAGTACAGGGGTTTGCAGGGGCTGATGTCTCTTACCTGGATCCAGTCCCACGACGATCCGGTCCAGGAAGCGCGGCGTCTCCTTCAGTTCGGCCACTGGATGTTCGTGCGGCTGCTCGGCTCCGCCTCCTCACCGGTGATTGGCCGCCAGAACTGTAGCTCAGGAAAGGCACACATGCAGCCAATCACTGGCGAGGGGGCGGAGCCGAGCGGCCCCGCGAAAATTGAGTGCCGGAGCAGCAGGTAAGTGTTCTGTGTAGAGGTGCTGCTGCAACCACATATGCTGGCTGCAGCAGCACCATACGAGAACAGGGTCAGCAAGTCTCAGTGGGAGGAATAGTGCCCCATCATTGGTGTCACTGATACCAACGACGATGGGGCACTATTCCTCCCCACTGATACCAACGATGGGGCACTATTCCACCCCTCACTGACACCAACGATGGGGCCCCCCCCTCACTGACACCAACGATGGGGCACCATTCCACCCCTCACTGACCCAACCCCATTCCACCCCTCACTGACACCAACGATGGGGCACCATTCCACCCCTCACCACCACCCCATCCACTGACTGACACCAACGATGGGGCACCATTCCACCCCTCACTGACACCAACGATGGGGCACCATTCCACCCCTCACTGACACCAACGATGGGGCACCATTCCACCCCTCACTGACACCAACGATGGGGCACCATTCCACCCCTCACTGACACCAACGATGGGGCACCATTCCACCCCTCACTGACACCAACGATGGGGCACCATTCCACCCCTCACTGACACCACCATTCCACCCCTGACACTGACACCAACGATGGGGCACCATTCCACCCCTCACTGACACCAACGATGGGGCACCATTCCACCCCCCACTGACACCAACGATGGGGCACCATTCCACCCCTCACTGACACCAACGATGGGGCACCATTCCACCCCCACTGACACCAACGATGGGGCACCATTCCACCCCTCACTGACACCAACGATGGGGCACCATTCCACCCCTCACTGACACCAACGATGGGGCACCATTCCTCCCCTCACTGACACCAACGATGGGGCACCATTCCTCCCCTCTGACACCAATGATGGGGCACCATTCCTCCCACTGACACCAATGATGGGGCACCATTCCTCCCACTGACACCAATGATGGGGCACCATTCCTCCCACTGACACCAATGATGGGGCACCATTCCTCCCACTGACACCAATGATGGGGCACCATTCCTCCCACTGACACCAATGATGGGGCACCATTCCTCCCACTGACACCAATGATGGGGCACCATTCCTCCCACTGACACCAATGATGGGGCACTATTCCTCCCACTGACACCAATGAAGGGGCACTATTCCTGCCACTGATACCAATGATGGGGCACTATTCCTGCCACTGATACCAATGATGGGGCACTATTCCTGCCACTGATACCAATGATGGGGCACTATTCCTGCCACTGATACACTAATGATGGGGCACTATTCCACCCCTCACTGACACCAACGATGGGGCACTATTCCTGCCACTGACACCAATGATGGGGCACTATTCCTGCCACTGACACCAATGACACCTCCCACTGACACCAATGATGGGGCACTATTCCACCCACTCACCAATGACACTATTCCTGCCACTGACGATGGGGCACTATTCCACCCCAATCACACTATTCCTGCCACCCAACGATGGGGCACTATTCCTCCCTGACTGATACTATTCCCCACTGATGATGGGGCACTATTCCTCCCCTCACTGACACCAATGATGGGGCACTATTCCACCCCCACTGACACCAACGATGGGGCACTATTCCTCCCACTGACACCAATGATGGGGCACTATTCCTCCCACTGACATCAATGATGGGGCACTATTCCTCCCACTGGTGTGCATTGGAAGAGGGGTAGTCTTATACGGCGAGTATAGCCAAAACACTACATTTTAGCAGGAAAAGTAGGGGGGTCGTCTTATACGCCCAGTCGTCTTATACGCCGGCAAATACGGTATATTAACAGAAGACCAGGTGGCAATCTTACACAACTGGGCTACAGGTGGTGCCAAAATGCCCATGAAGGTCCCATGGATCTGGTAGAATGGGTAAGTAACGTGCAGCAGGGGCCCTCTAAGAAATCAGATTTCAAATCACGCAATGGTGGGCTTTCCTTGCAAGGGACACCCTGTTACAAAGGGGTATTCTGTCTGATTGGAGAAGTAGTCTTGATTTATATTTTAAGTCCCCTTTCACAGGGTGACTGTTTAGATCAGCAGGGACCTGTCCACTGATCAGAAAAAAAAAAGCAGGTGATGACAGGTCCATGTCCACTCAGATTCTGCAGAGGGGAATGCCCAACAGGTGTGCGTCTAAAAGCTGTGTTAACATCCCAACAAGAGCAGCTCAAGCCTGTGTACTGTACCGTGAATAAGGTTTTTCTATTCTCAGAGTTCTTCAAAACTGATGACAAACATTCTAGACAACCATATGCAGGCAAGTTAAGAACAGAAGAACACAAGACACCTCTGGCTGTACTCACGGTGCACATTCTCTTGGTCTCCTTTGAGTCCCTGGATGATTCCAGTATAGGCCTCAAGACAGCCCTCACGCAGCTCATTTAGGTAATCCACCATGTCATAATCTGTCTGATGTGGAAAAGCAATATAAACATGTGAAACAAAGTTAATCAATTTGGGTAAACATACCACAAAACACACTGCTTTGGTTTGTTATGCCTTCCATCATGAAACATTCATCTCTCCTACAGCAGATTGAGCAGACATCTGCTGGTACAAATTAACACTGCAGTGATTTCAAATGGATATGTTCTGTAGCTGGGGAACAAGGATTACACAGTGTGTAAAGATTGATGAACAACTGGCAGAGATAGGATGCCACAACATGAACATGCCTGCATATTCATATTTTCTACCCACTTAAAATCAGGGTGATTGATAATGCTGTCTATTAGTGACAGCAGGTGGAACCAAGGCTACCTTCAGGTCCAGCCATTTAGATATTTGAGCATTTCAAGCTTGGATCTTCTACAAGCTATATCAAACATGCACATAAGAATCATCTGAGGGCTGCTCTACACCTTTGGCACAAGTTTAGAAACTGCAAGGTGATTTCCAAACAGAACACTGAAAATGCCTACCTTATCCACCTGAGCCTGAGAAGCTTGCTGCAGCGTGTTCAGCACAACATCCAGGTACTTTTTAAACTCCCCTCCGATAGCCAATGCAATGTCTCCAAACACGGAAAGAATCTGTGGCTTTACAGAGCGGTGAACATTCTCATTCTGAAAGAGTCATCCGACTTTAATAATATGGTCATTGTATGAAATAAATATGCTTACAGGTCACTGTATGGGGAAAATGCAGTAATATTGCAGTCATCAACTTCTTACCCCCAGATTCTCTAGAAGCTGTTGCATAATTTCGTCACAGAATGGTAAGATGTTTGTTTGCAGAACCCGGCATAGGTCTCCTACAAGCCCAACAGCAGCCAGGCACACCTAAAAATAAAACAGCACAGCTTAGTAAAATACAAGAGCAGCTACCTGTATATACAAAAGTTTAGGATCCTACCCAATATATCACGAAGGACAACTCTATATACAAAGATCATATAAGAAAATCTCTCACACGTCAAAATAAAGGTTAGATGGAAATCATTCAAAACTCGACAATTTTTTTTTTTTTTTTTTTTTTTTTAATGGACACGTGTCTACCAGAGAACTCCCAACACTTTGTGAAAAAGGAAACCTCAAAAAAAAAAAAAAAAAGGGGACAGGCAATAACCTAATTTAGAATGTGAAGGAGGGGGGACTGAAAACAGGTCTAACACTAGCCCTATTGGGAAGTTTAATTTCCCTTACTGTCCTGGACAGAAGTTATAAAAAAAAACCTCTTTTTTTTTTTTTTTTAAAGCTTTAAATAAAAGGGATTTTTGTACATTCTGTAAAATACTAATCTCTGAATTAATTGAAGGACATGGCTGTACTTCACAAAAGGTATTTTTCAGGCCTATGATCCTTTGATAGGGCTGGACAAAAAGGGAACCCTAGACACCTTAAAGAGTAGCCACAAAGCTCTTGAAGCTAACCTGGATATATGTAGGCCAAAGCTGTGGCACCGATCAATTTTAGATTGAACGGGGATACTTGAAGTAAGGTCATCTAATGGGAGGGAAAACCTGGATGCCCGGCATTCCAGGATACTGATGAGAGGTATCCTAAGGGGACCACCATCTCTGAACAAAGTAGCCATCACGCTCCCCCCCCCACCCATGGTGATAATCTGCCAACTGAGGGAAGAAAAGACAACCTGGCCAGCAGGCGGAGAGTGAAGTTATTAAGCAAAGAACTCTTGGTCTGGTGAAAAAGGCGAAATTAACCGATCCAGTGACCCAGGAACTCTGTTCCACTTTGTCAGACTCCCTCGATGTAGAGACCTGAAATTGTGGTACACATATGTAACTGCTTCAAAAAGGATGCCACCATGAGGTCTTTGCAAAAAAAAGAATGGATGCAGTCTGCAAACAAAATAACCAGAGGACATGAAGATGCAGCTGCAGTAGTGTTCCGCAGAGGAACAACCCCGACCAATGAGGTGTCCAGAATGAGTCTGAAGTACTTCAAAGAGAAAGAAATAAAAACTGACTTGCTCAGTCCATCTGAGATCCTTTAGTGTCCGACAGACTGCTTGCAGGTGTAGAGTCAACCAGATAAGGCAGAAAATGACAGAACTGGGGCTAGTAATTATTATTATTATTATACAGTATTTATAAAGCGCCAATAGTTCGCTCAGCGCTGTACATTACAAAGGGGAACAGAACATGTGACAGAACAATACCAATACAATGCAAAACATGAGGGGATCGAGGGCCCTGCTCTTTCGAGCTTACAATCTAGGAGGGAGGTGAGTGGCACAGGAGGAGATAGCTGTGGGGGATGGAGTGGTAGGAAGAGTGGAGGAGTAATTGGGTGAAGACTCGTGGGGACATCGCCCGTCCCAAGTGGAGGAGCGTGAACTGGTAAAGCAGCTATTCCACCGCAAACCAAAAGGAACCATTGGCAATTGCAGCAATAGGGATCTGGAGATGAGCTTCCTGGACACAGACTAAAATGCTCCGTTGATGTAAGGAAGCTTTCACAGAATACACCAACTCCATGCTAAGCCTGCAAACCTCAAGAAGTTTTAGAATTTCTCGAATTGGAGAGACATCAACCTACTTGGGAATTGCAAACTGACTAGGATAGGAGCCCTTAAACTTAAGAGGATGGAACCAGGGGTAACGCACACACCAATCCAGGAGCCTCTGAGCAGGAGAGAGTAAGTTGTCAAATCACCATGGAAAAAAAATGTATATTTTAAAACAAAAATAAGTTACCTTCAGAACCCATCTGTTTGAAAGTGGGATGGGCAGCTGGCTACAAACAGGAGATACACCATAACCTCAAGGTGGGGGGCACAATGTCATGCGGGGGCAGACCCCTCTGCAGACCATGGGCTTCCACAAACACTTTGGACCAGAGAAAAGGGGATGGAAAAAAAATAAAAAACTACTTTTCCTTGGAGATTGGCCTGAAAGAAACTTTGAAAAATACAGCTGTGTCCAACAAAAGGAGAGAGAAAAGGTTATGACTGGATTTTCACTTAAATCTGAGTTCTGCTCAAGTGAAAACTTAAACCTCAACTCTAAGCAAACCACTTCAGGCTCAGTTCACACTGCTGCAACATAGGATCAGACATGAGACCGTGACATGTGAAATTCAATGTTTCCTTATGAGAGCCGTCTTAACTGATACTTTAGAAAAAGTTCATGCAATACTCTGGTCCGACCTGGGTATGATTTTACCTCCTAGACTGTCTAAAGTCGCAACAAAGTTAAAAGGAAGTAGCAGGGCAAAGTCATATGACTTGGCCGTCGCAGTTGTGTGAACCGGGCCTTATGCAGAGAGGAATTGTATATATAGAAGCAGTTTCAATTACAAAAATATGTGATCTGTCCAACCAGTTTGAAGATTTAAAAACGCTATACCAGGCTGCTGACTCCACTTTGACATAAGCTGTATTACGTAACCACAGTGAAGCACAGTCCGGTTACTGTACAATGAAGGAAAAAACAAATGAAGTCCTCTCCTCTTGTCAAATGTGCATAAAAGCACACCTAAGACCCATGGGTTGCCTCCTCACCTGTATGGCTGTAGGCCGCCTGATTTTAAAAAAGGAAGAGTACAGAAGATACACACAAGACAAACAAAAGGAAAAGAAACTCTCACCTGATACTCTGCATAGTTCTTTAGGCCAATGGCAAGAAAAGGTTTAAATGCCTCCATGTACTTCAGAAATTCTGCTCCAAGAACTAAAGATACACAAAAAAGGTACAGTACAATTGGCACTGTTCTTTGCAAAATTAATCAAATCAAAACGTAACAGTATACCACAACTGGCATTAGGGAATCTCCCTGGCAAGAGACCACAGAATCGCAATATTAAAGTGGTATTAAAAATTAAAAATAAAATGGCAGCTTATCAATTCTTAGATGTGGTGGCTGTATTTTTCCCCCCTCTCTCTCACCTAGTGAGCAAACGAGTGTTAATAAAACATCAATAATAAACATTAAAAGTGATAAACAATTCCCTCCCCCCAGATTGACAATGCTGTTGTCCAAAAGTGTCTGCTTTACCACTTCATCCAGAACAGACAAACCCCAAGACAGGGATGTAACTAGTTGGAGATCCAAGTGTGGAGGGGAAGGAAAAAAAAAAAAAAAAAAAAACCCACCACACTTTTAAAGGATTGTAAGCCACATTATATTACATTGTTTTTGTATGTAAAATGCTTTAAGCAAACAACTAAAAATAATTGCACAGGATTCAAGGAATGGCAATTTGACAATTATCAGTCCAGCAGGCTGTATACAAGATTAATGCAGTTAGTTGTCCAAGAAATTCTGACATGGCCGCAGAGAAACCTGCCTTGGTCAAGTAGGCTGCCGATTGTGTGCCTGAAAGTTAGAATCAGATGCAGACTGGTGCTTCCATTATTGCCATCACTGAGGGTATTCTCCTGTGGGTTACTCACGGAGTAGGGTGCGGGAATGGAGCAAGCAAGTCCAGAAAAGGATACACAGTAGCCCAAGTGTCTGTCCTGAAGCAATCTAATGGCACAAAGGGTGGAAGGAAGGGGCAGAGTATGTTATAAGCACTGTTGGCAGACGTTAGCGGTAATAGTGAGGCCTGTGGTGTGATCCAACACCTGTCATCCACCCAAGACTAAGCTCTGAATAGTGGAATTTTTACAGCCAAGTTTGAAAGTTCAAATGCTCAAATAGTCAGACAGGAGACACTAAGTGTATAACAAGTAGTGGAAATCTTACAAACAAACATACACTTGCTGTAGGGCAACATTAACCGTGCAATAACAGGACAACCTCCAATGTCAGCTATGTCATATGCCGCTCCAGGCAAGCTCAGACTCCACACAATCGCATCTCAGGTGCTGGCTCAACGCGATTCCACTAAAAGCAAAATTGTACCAGCAACAGGAATGCCACACCAACATGCAAAAAAAGAGCCAGAAGGATCAAGTTCTAGTCTGACATGATTCATGCTACGTACAGTGCTCTTTCAAAGAATGAACCCACTACCCATACACCATTAAATAGAAACATGAACTCCACACGATTAACCCCTTCATTGCCATTGTGTAATACAAAAAAAGAAAAAAAATCTATATTAAATACACACCGACCAGCCATAACTTTATGACCACCTACCTAATACAGAGTAGGTCCCCTTTTCCCTGAACCATCAAGGCATGGATGCCACTAGACCTCTGAAGGTATTCTGTGGTATCTAGCACCAAGCAGTCAATAGCAGATCCTTTAAGTTGCGAGGTGGAGCATTGATAGATCAGTCTTTTTCCAGCATATCCCACAGATTCTCAATTGGACAACTGAGGCCAAGTCAACACCTCAAAGGCTTGTCCCTCATACCATTCTTGAACCATTTTGTGCAGCGTGGCAGGGCGCATTATCCACCTGAAAGGACACTGCCATCAAGGAATATCATTTCCTTAGTCAATAATGTTTAGGTAGGTGGAATGTGTCAAGTAACAGCCTCATGAATGAAAGGACCCAGGGATTCCCAGCAGAACATTGCCCAAGGCATCACACTGCCTCCGCCGGCTTGCCTTCTTCCTATACTGCATCCTGGAGCCATCTCTTCCCCAGGTAAACAACGCACACACCCAGCCATCCACATGTAAAAGAAAAATGTGATTAAGACCAGGCCACCTTTCCAATTCCCTATGGCCCAGTTCTGATGCTCACGTGGCAATTTTAAGTACTTTTGGCAGTGAACATGGGTTAGCACAGACAAGTCCTTCAAACACATCAGCCTATTGGATGTCTACACTCTCTATTGCGGACTGTTACTCAGCGCGGTGTTGACCCAGCTGTTCTTTATGATGTGCCTTGACTATATTGTCGTTTGTGAGTACAACACCTACTTTATGTTTTATGGTAATGCACTAGGCCTGTGTGCCCTCTGTTCTTTCCTCATTCGGTTAGCACAGGCACCCTGACCGGTCTGCAGCCACGTGGCCCCATACACCGCAAACTGCATTGCCCATTTTTTCTGCTTTCAACACATCAACTTCAGGGACCATGTTTACTTGCTGCCTATATCCCACTTCAGATGCCAATGTAACTGGATAATTCATGTTATTCAGTTAACCTGCCAGTGTTCAAGTTATAGCGGATTGAAATTTGAGATAGCAAAAGCCAGGGGGATCTGCCTCACTTGTGATGTCATCAGCCACACTGTGCATGCTTCTCCCGAGCGTCTGTGGGTACTCACCAGCCCAGCTGCAGAACCCCCGGTAAAGGGGAGGTCAGTCTTCACTGGACTTCACCCAGAGGGCCCTCGAGGGCTCCATTTCCCATCTAGGGTTCACTGCCCTGTACCTGTATAGCATGCTACCAGAAACCACCAGGCAATTAATTGTTCAGGGTTCCTAAACACAGGACAACCGCAAAACCAAAACAAACAGCGCTACTACCTTTCAAATCTGATCTAATGAGGCAAGTCCTCATGCAAGTGCCCAGCTCTCAGCATCTGCAAGAACACACATACACAAAAAAGGTGACATGCAAGTGCTACCCATGCAAGGGTGTGATTGAGGTGAAATAGCAAGGGTACAAAGTGTGCATACAGATAGCACTGATAAGGTGTGGCTTATCATACTAAGAGCAGTATATTAATGAAGATTCGCTCTAGCCCCGAGGCAACTGAAAGAGGATTTTTTGGCAGCCTAGTCAGTTAAAGGCATAAAACAAAAAGCATCTATTGAAACACCACAACAAGCAATCAAGGTGAGGTCCAATGTTAATGTAGCTACAGTGCCTTGAAAAAAGTATTCATACCCCTTGAAATTTTCCATATTCTCATGTTACATCCAAAAATAAAAATGTAAAATGTATGTTATTGGGATTTTAATGTGATAGACCAACACAAAGTAATACAATTGTGAAGTGGAAGGAAAATGATAAAATGGCTTAACTTTTTTTTACAAATAAATACCTGCAAAAAGTGTGGCATGCATTTGTATTCAGCCCCATTTACACTAATACCCCTAATTAAAATCTAGTGGAATTAATTGCCTTCAGAAGTCACCTAATTAGTAAATAGAGTCCACCTGTGTGTAATTTAATCTCAGTATAAATAAATACAGCTGTTCTGTGAAGCTTTCAGGTGGTTTGTTGGAGAACATCAGTGAACAAACAGCATCATGAAGGCCAAAAAGAACACACCAGACAGGTCAGGGATAAAGTTGGAGAAGTTTAAAGCAGGGTTAGGTTCTAAAAAAATTATCCCAAGCTTTGAACATCTCGCGGAGCACTGTTCAATACATCATCAGGAAATGGAAAGCGTATGACAACTGCAAACCTACCAAGACATGGCCGTCCACCTAAACTGACAGGCCGGGCAAGGAGAGCATTAATCAGAGAAGCAGCCAAGAGGCCCATGGTGACTCTGGAGGAGCTGCAGATATCCACAGCTCAGGTGGGAGAATCTGTCCACAGGACAACTATTAGTCATGCACTCCACAAATCTGGGCTTTATGGAAGAGTGGCAAGAAGAAAGCCATTGTTGAAATCAATACGTTTGCGAGACGCCATGTGGGAGAGGACAAACATGTGGAAAAAGGTGCTCTGGTCAGATGAGACCAAAATTGAACTTTTTGGCCTAAAAGCAAAACGCTATGTGTGGTGAAAAACTAACACTGCACATCACCCTGAACACACCATACCCACCGTGAAACATGGTGGTGGCATCATGTTGTGGGGATGCTTTTCTTCAGCAGGGACAAGGAAGCAGGTCAGAGTTGATGAGAAGATGGATGGAGCCAAATACAGGGCAATCTTAAAAGACCTGTTAGAGTCTGCAAAAGACTTGAGACTGGGGCGGAGGTTCACCTTCCAGCAGGACGACCCTAAACATACAGCCAGAGCTACAATGGAATGGTTTAGATCACAGCATATTCATGTGTTAGAATGGCCCAGTCAAAGTCCAGACCTAAATCCAATTGAATCTGTGGCAAGACCTGAAAATTGCTGTTCAGAGATGCTCTCCATCCAATCCGACAGAGCTTGAGCTATTTTGCAAAGAAGAATGGGCAAAAACTTCCATCTCTAGATGTACAAAGCTGTTAGAGACATCCCCAAAGACTTGCAGCTGTAATTGCAGTGAAAGGTGGTTCTACAAAAGTATTGACTCCGGGAGGGCTGAATACAAAAACACACCACACTTTTCAATTGTAAAAATATTTGAAAACTATTTATCATTTTCCTTCCACTTCACAATTATGTGCCACTTTGTGTTGCTCTATCACAAAATCCTAAAAAAAAAAAAAAAAAACACATTTACGTTTTTTGGTAACATGACAAAATGTTACAAATTCCAAGGGGTATGAATACTTTTTCAAGGCACTGTATATCTTTATATAATGGAAGGCTGACGTTCACTGGAAAAAAAAAAAAAAACAAAAAAAACAAAAAACAGGCCTCTCCTTCAATCTCCTTTTGGAAAAAAAAAAAAAAAAAAAAAAAAGTGGAGTGTAACAGACTTTCTGGCATAGAGGCGGCTGATCAACATCCTCTTTGCTATTGTAGGGAGCAAAAGACTACCATGCCCAATATGCAAACCTCTAAAGCTAAGGGCACATGTGTTGATGACAGTGCTAACGATGAATAGCACATTGGTCCAGAACACAGTAACGGCCAAAGAAGTGGATGAAATCTCTCAGGGATTGACCACAGAGGGGAGAGACTTATCCATTTTATGTAGCCAGGAGGGAGTAAAATAAGCCACATGTAAAATTTGAAGAATTGTACAAGTTTGTCTCATACTGAGACTAGGGAACGAAAGGGGAAGTTGCAATCCAATCTTTATTAAAAATACACAGGGGTAATTTTTTTTTTTACCCCTTTTGTTGTGTATATTTAAGAATGAACTGCAGCTCACTGTGTTGCTGGCTCCTCTGGCATTTCCTTAAACGCAAGGTCCATTTCTGACCTGTGACATTACAGGCCATCCTTGCATTAACATTTCCCTTTTCGTCAGGTGCATGGTTTGTATACCACTGTGTGGTGACTGTTGAGAACTGGTGGAAATCATACAGAGCACTGTACAGCAGTAACCATCACCTTCAGACACTACCTGCCTACCAAGGGCAGGCTAGTTGTAAAGCATGACCAGCAACAGCAAAGGTGGCTTTCAGTATTCATCGAAGGCAACATCATGTAAAGAAAAGCGCTGCTATAACACAGGCACTGACCAACGTCCTATCTGGAAGGTAGCCAGTCAAATCTGTTGATTTGCTCCATGCATTTTCAGCAAAAACAGCAGGCGAACATGCATCAGCCAGATAGCGTCGTGCAACTGCATCACCACCCAAGTAATACCACAGAGTGGGAAACTAGTCAAACTTAGGCCACAGTACTGGTCCTGTACAGAATTCTGCAACACAGCGCATAATAGGCCAGCCTAATCCCTGAACACTGGAACCAGTGACCAAAGAAAAAACATTACAGGCCATCTCTGTAAAGTTGATAAACAAAAACCTTTTGTATAATGTGTAGGCGAAGGGTAGGAAATGTAACTGAAGTACTGAATGCTCCATGTAAAAAACACCAAACCAAGCATACAGTTAACCAATACCCTCAAGTGATACAACCCAACACCCACATACACGTTACAAACCTCAATCATAGCTCTTACCTTCTACCAGAGTGCTCACTGCCATTAGGGCATCTTCTTGTACCCCTCCTGAACCAGCTGTACTCTGAAACATGCGTAGCAGGGAAGCCATCACTACATCAGATATCTGAAGTGCATCTTGGGGCTGCACTTTACGAAGCACATTCTGGAAGACCGTAAGAAAAAAAAAAAAAAAAAAACAAGGACAAGGAGATGGACAGATTAGCAAGCAAATAGCAAGGGGGGGGGGGGGGGGGGGGGGGGGGGGAACAACACAAAAGCCGCTATAAAATATCATGAAATATTAAAACAAGTCATGCTGTAATGCTAGATTCTAATATTAGCAAATATGGAAGGAAGAGGAAAAAAAAATAATCTAGATCTGCACACTTAGGTCTATTACAGCGCTTAGAACATTCACATTACCCATTCATACGGTTTAGGGCCTACCCCCCCAAAGCAAATACTGAGGGTGTGTGTAAAGGCACCCATCTGAACTAGATGCCAAAAGTGGGACAGTATTTGTGGGTTAGTTCTGTGAACATGTGCCAGTTGGAGGGTGATGACATCACTGCAGTTTTCTTCCATCCCCAATTGTTACATTAAGCTGCCAGGTATGAGGAAGGGCAACCCAGTGCAAGCTTGGTATATGCTCTAATCTGAGCTTAGAAGGCTCTATCCCCACCACCATATGACACTCAAAGCCATAAAGAGGAAGAAGGAGTTTTATTCACCAACATACTCAAAAGCGCAAGTTAGTTCCCCAAGTTCAGTAGTACTCAAATGTTCAGTCAGCACAAAGACTCCCAGACTGCAGTAGGAGGGAGAAGGGTGGGGTTCCTCCAAAACAGTGGTTCTCAACCTGTGGGTCGCGACCCCTTTGGGGGTCGAATGACCCTTTCACAGGGGTCCCCTAAGACCATCAGAAAACACATTTCCGATGTGTAAATAGCAGCTACTGTGTAGAAAGCAGCTACTGTGTTGAAAGCAGCTACTGTGTTGAAAGCAGCAGTATTGGAGGTAAAACGACACTCATGAATATATAATTACTGGGTAAATAATTTTATGGTTGGGGGTCACCACAACATGAGGAACTGTATTAAAGGGTCACGGCATTAGGAAGGTTGAGAACCACTGCTCCAAAACATCAAGACCACCTGTGTTGTGGCTGCTGCATGCTCCAGCCACTGGGGGAAATCGCTAATTTGTGTCAAGAGCAGGTCCACAGGGGCGACATCCCTCGAAGAGCAACGAAGTTCAGATGTGCATCTGACAATTCAGCATCCCAAGCACACAGTTTCCTACTTCATTTGACACACATTCCAAAAAAGGGCAAGTAAGGATGGCCTGTTGCAAGCATCTTAACTGGCACACAAGACATTAGTTCTAATCACTCCAAAAGCCCACCCTAGCAATGGAAGATAGAATTGTTTGTGTGTTATCAGTTTAAAACACACTATTTGTCTACTGTGACCAAGATGAAGACCAGATCACATTTTATGGCAAATTACGGCAGAAAACCAGTTAATTCCAAGGGGTTCACATATTTCTTGCCACTAACTGAATAGCATGTGGGTGCAAAAGCAAGGTCTTTCCAGCCCAAGGCAAAAAAACAACTGGTAGGAGAGAAGTGGAACCTCAAGTTTTAAAAAGTGCTGCACACTGCCTCAATATGCTGGAAAAAAAAAAACTAACTTGGCAGTACACTGTGGACTGACTGCAAGGGAAAGCTCAAAGACTTGATAGCCTTTGTAGCATCTAATCAAAGTCTGAAAACTGAGTAATCTTGGAAAAAAACTACTGCATGAAAATAGTTCAAACCTCAACTGAAAAAAGGCACAGGACCCAACCACATCCATTGGACCAAAGGGGACTCCAGTGAGAAATTTAAAAAATGTATAGGTGGCATAAATCCAGGCTACCAACATCACTACCAAGGGGCGAACTGCAACAGTTAGGGATGAGCATGATGGGGGCTTACAGGCAAGCCCCAAGTACTCACAATCTGGGCAGCAGGTGAAAGTCAAGACCACAGGGTTGGGTGGCCAAAAAGGAAAGGCTTGAAGATTAACATTTCATGCAGTTCTTTGCAGCAAGAACAGCAGAGTGGAAAACACTAATGGGAACGATCATGGAATGCATTTGGGACATTCCACCCATGTAATCAGTGCTCTGTTCCAGATGTCAAAGTCAGGGGAAAGAGGGATGTAACGGCACCCAACAACCAATAAATTGAGGAAGCTCCCAGTGCCTGACTCGATGAAAAAACCTGCTCACTAACAAACGTCTTTAAAGACAGAGCAGGTGCAGGAGGTAATATCAGTGGCTCTGGAAAGAAAGCATTTCACAACCAGTTAATAGAACTAATCTGTGCCCAAAAGGACATATCCACTGCTCACCCCACAAAACATCCAGTCCACAAGGATGCAAGTGCTGTCCAAAAGCCAAGCTGAGGACAACTGCAGCAAAGAGCTGTGAGTCCACACATTTTAAAAACTAGATTGGTCCTTCAAGACAGCTGAAAAAAAAATCCCATAGGCAGTGTAACCCAAGGGTAAAAAAAAAAAAAAAAAAAAAAAAAAAACCACACCTTGTAAAAATGTCAAATTGAACATCAGCATGTTCAGGGTTCCATTTCAATGGCACCTAAAAACCATGAGGCGATTCTGCCCCGACTGTCACGCAAAACGTATCACCCAAAAGAAGTTTCGGTAATCATGGCAGAATTGCCCTGCGTCTAGGTGATATTGAAATGATAGGCACCTGATCATGATGTGCAATTTGAAATTTTAACAGCGAGTTTTGAAATCGCAGCGATTGAACGGAGCCTTAGAGGGGAAGTACTTTTTCGAAGTGCAAAACATGTCAATCATGAACAATGTCTAATAAATAAGAAAAGCTGCCACAGCCTCGTTTTTTTCTGTATCGTGAATATTAAATATAGAACAAAATGGTCTAGCCTGCAGCAAAAGGGTTAAAGGAAATAGTTTCACCAACTAGGAGAAGCACTGGTTTGCTTTAAACGGCTAAAGGCTATGGTTAATAAAGTCCTAAGACAGACATGACAAAAGAGAAGGGTGGCGGCTTCAACAATTGAAATACTGATGACTCTGTCCTGGATCACACCGGTGTGACATGTGATTAACACATCACGCCTGAAGTCGCATCGAATAGATTTTTATGGCACTGTCTTAATCAGTGCGCAATTTCAAAAATAGTTCCCTGCACTACTTTGATTTCACTGTGACTTGCATTGACTTCTGTAAAATGAAGACGCAAAACGCAGTGAAAATCAAAAAAAGGGTAGTTGAACTACTTTTCGGCGACATGCTTCACACAATGCAGTTTGCTGCAATTGCGGTGCCATTTATCACACAATACAGTGTTTTCAGCAGCCACACTGTTCTGCACACAAAAGAAAAAAAAAAAAAAAAAAAAAAGATTAGTCTAATTGTCGGTTAAATAAAATACTTATGTCTTCAGACAATCATAATCAACACAGTACGTTATCTGTGTGGTGCATGAACTTGTCATCTTCAGACATCCAATCTACATCAGTGGTCTCCAAACTGTGGCATGGGGGCCAGATGCAGCACTTTGCTTGCTTTTATCTGGCCCTTGGGGCTCCATTTCATCCACCGTTACCAACAATGCAGCAAATTCCTTCCACTGACATCAATGATAGGGCATTGTTTTTTTCCCCCCACTGATGGAATACTTTCTGCTCCAAATGGCCACAGTCCAGTCCCTCTAGAGGTTTGAAGGACAGTAAACTGGCCCTTTTGCAAAGTTTGGAGACCCCGGATCTACATTGATGGGAGTGAAATAGTGGACTAGACTTACCTGGAGAGTAGCACAGAGAAGAGACTGTAGATCATTGAATTGGATCCTGTCTGATGTACTCTGTATGTGGGACTAGAAGAGAGAAAAGGACGTGGAATACATAAAGACATGTTTCTGGCATTTAGCAGTTATGTCTCACACAGCAGATGTTCCCACTCCTACCTCCATCTGAAGCACTTGCTGTAGTCTCTCCATTATCACTAGTGTGGTTTTCTGAACAGCAGGGTAGCAGTCCTTGGCACTATTCTTGACAATTTCCATTAGAGCTTCGTAGGCAGCACTTCGTAGGTTGTTCTGGTGTCCATCAGGCCTGAGAAAGCAAACCAGGTTGCTCAGCTGCCACTTCCAAAACCCAATTTTGTCCTTAACTTGGTTACAGTAATAACTTTACACACAGAGGGGGTGGATTTACTAAAACGGGAGCACACAATTTGGTGCAGCTGTGAATAACCCAATCCAAAGCCTAATTAAACAAGCTGAAGTTGACCCGTTACCACACACAGGTGTACCACATTCTGCGGGCTCCAGTTTTAGCAAGTCTCCCCAAGTGAGAGCTCAGTCTTCAGAAAGTCATAATCAACACAGTGGATTCTGTGTGGTGCATGAACAAGTCATCACAAGACAATGGATTACAAAATAGAGAGTTTAAAAAGGCACCTTGAGTGTGAAATTAAATATGTGCACTTTGTCCATTATGTTTATAAGACCAACACACTAGGCACACAGCCTACCTGTCCGTGGTCTCCAGCAGCTTCTGCACAATGACCTCAAAGGAGCTGGACAAACAGTAGGAGGCTGGTTCTTCTTGGTCATCAGTAACATCAGCAGCTTCATAAGCAGCTTCAGCCAAACTGGTGAAGGCCTTAAAACGTAAGCAAACTAATGTAATGAGCAAACAAACACAGGAATATCACATGAATGTATACTAAAGGCTGCAGGTCAAATGCTTTGGCCTCTTTACAACCAATATCTATAGACACTTACCCAGCACACGTTAGTAGCCACCCTGGGTTCAGCTCCCAGCCCCTCAATGAGGCACTGAAGTAAAGGAACGAGGTAAACATCATTGATTGCTGCCTCTGGGAGAAGCTCACATATCCGGCCAACCGTCCAGGCAGTAGTGTCCCTCACCACAACACTGTGGTCTTTCATTAGCTCTATTAGAGTGGGCATAGCCTTTGAAAGATTAAGCAACACCATTACATTTTTAGTGCAACTGATGCAATAGAAGAACGATTTCCTTACATTCACCTATTTCCTGAAAATCAATACTGCGAGTAACACAAGGAGCAGAGCCAATAGTCTCTGCAAAACCTATATAGCATATTACTAATAGACTGCACCTTTCCTGAGAGAAGCAAGACAGCTCCCAGAGACAATGACCTCCTAAAGAGGTTAGGTTGCATGGTTTAAACCAGTTAGTCAATAAATTCTGAATCACAAAGCAAATCAGGCAAGTCAGGGTAAAGCCGGCAGTCATCTGCATACTTGTGCTTGGTCACCAGTTCAAACTAATGAATCCAAAAGAGAAAACATGATGCAACACTTGTAGAATGAGAAGTTAGAATTGGCAGCCAATAATGTTTTGGCTTCACACTAAATTCCATATTTTGTAATACAGTAGAGGACACAGAGTCTGTAGTCAGACCATGGGTTAGGTGCTGCTACCTTCAGGGTGACTGGAGAATGGCAAAAACTAACATTTTGACAGAAGACCAGGTGGCAGCTCTGCAGACTTGGAATGAAACCGGGCAAAGGGCTCTGCCTTTAAGGAGGCTACAACATTTTCCGGAATCCTCATGCAAAAAACAAAAGTTGAGAGATTTGTTCGACTAGAGCAAGTCCATGAGCCCTCAGAGCAAGAGATTTGTCCAGAGGGAGGCGCATCCTCCCCTGGACAACATCCAAGGTCCGGCCTAAATATGCTAACCTCTAAATTCAGAGCCCAGCCAAACCATTTCAGATTGTGCATCTTGTGAGACAGTAGTGAAGCAGAATGCCCCTTAGTCCTTAAGACTATATTCCCAGTTATGCAGTAGCCTCAGAATGTGAGCAAAAACCCTGGTGAAAACTCTAGGAGCTGTGGACAGGCAAAACAGCAAATTGCAGTCACACCCGCTCCGCTGGAGCGAGACCAACACCACAGATTCCATCAAGAACGTCTGTACTCTTATAAACTCACCGAGTCTAGAGATCCAAGATGGGAATAACATTGACAGTTAAGTGTCAAAACCATGACAAGGTTTAAGCATACACCGCTAAAAAACTTCTCATCCTCTGGAAACAGAATCACTCCTTGAAGCAGATAAATCAAGAGCTTTCAAATGTTTGACTCGTTAAAGATTTGCAAGTGCAAATCTGCAAGTCACTATATCATGGACCTGTCCGCAATCTACCACTGCCAAATTTCCGCAAAAAAGGTATCCAAAAAACTCATCACTGGAACTAGCGGAGGCTCCTCTTCATTATGAAGAGAAATTGTTCCCTGGCTTAGCAGGCTTGGAGTATATGGTTTCTTACAGAACTAGAAGTGGGGGATTTGGCTTGCAACCTGTGGCCTGAGTTAGGTGAAGGGAATGTGCACGTTAAAGCCAATTCCCAGGTTTCCTTTGACTTCTGCTTCGAAGACATTCCTCACAATAGCTGCGTAGATATTAGGTCCAGATGATAGTGACAGAGGAAGGTGGAATACTTTGACCAGGTTGCTGCTTTGCAAATCTGCTCCAGGGTAGCGCCAGCACTCTGCTCACAAAGCCGCTGATGTCCTAGTGCCTAGTAGAAGAAGCCCTAAGGGGGAGTTAACGGCATGATCTTATAACATTCCATAGCATTCCATCCTGAGCCATCTGGCCAAAGTATTCTTAGATGCTTGTTTCCCATTCTGCTTGCCTGCATACAGGACAAAAGGCATCCGAGGTACAACACACACCTAATGTCCCATAGACTTAACTGCTCTTTCTCTCTACTATTAGAAGCAGCATTGAAGACAGCCAGCAAGACAAGGTCTTGCGTTTTATGAAAATCTGAAGCAATTTTGGGCATGAATCCAGGATTCGTATGTATGTAGAATAATGCTACCATCCAAAATCCACAAAGGGTTCCCTGATGGATAGAGCTTGGATTTCCCCTATCCTGCAGGCTGTAGTAATGGCTATTAAAAAGCCATCTTCAGGATCAATAGATGTAGAGGAGATTCTTGCAGTGGCACAAAAGGGGATTTGACAATAGCCTTTGGGACCACCAAAAGGTCCCAATTAAGACACCTCCATGATCTAGTTGGTTTATTCTTGAAAATGGCCCTACAGAATCTCGAGATCAAAAAGGATCTTCCTGTAGGGCTTTCCGTAGATAGAATTCTAATGCAGCTATCGACACCTTTAAAAAAAAAAGGTAGAGAGGACTAGACCCCTCTCAAAGCCCTCCTGAAAAAGTCCAGAATTGTAGCTGTATCCATGTTATTGTGGTCTACCAACCAGCAATTAAAACTTCCCACACTTTCTTGAATTTGGCTCTGGTTCCTGAACTTCAGCAGGGTATCCAACTTTGAGAGGCCTTTAACGTTAAGAGGTCTACTTCAGAAGCCATGTGGTCAGTTTCCACATTTCCAGATTGTGATGAAATGGGGGTCCCTGGAAAAATTAGATCTTTCCAGGGACGCTCTACTGCTAGAGAACAAAAACCAGGCCCTTTTTGGCCAGTAAGGTGCTATCAGACTCAAGGTTATGGATTCCTGAAGGTACGTGTTCAGCATATAGGGAATTAAATGAATTAGAGGAAAGGCATAACACCTTTTGAAGTTCCAGGGGTTCTGGAGGGCATCCACCCCCACTTCTAGGTCTCGCGGATTGGGCAATTAAAAACAAGGCACTTTGACATTTCCTCTCAATGCGAAAAGATCTGTCTGGGTGTCCCAAACAAACTTCAATGCATGAAAAAAAAAAAAAATCTCAGGGCTCAACTCCTAGTCTTCTTGAGACACCCTTTGGCGGCTCACAAAACTTATTTGATTGTGATCCCCTTAAGGTGAACCACAGGAAAGATTTTCTGACCACCCACAAATCTACTGCGATATCTTGATCAAAGCCGGACTCTTGGTACCCTCGTTTGTTTACATAGGCCACTGCCACAGTATTAACAGACAGGATCAATACATTGTGTTCCCTGATCTGGTCCTGGAAGCATGCTAGTGCTCTGGCCACAGCCATGAGTTCTCTCCAATTAGAGAACACCTCAACTTCTTCTAGGGTCCACTCCCCAGCTCAGATGACCTTCTAGATGGGCCCTCTTAACTCCATCTGTCATGAACTTTTTGGAGACCGAAAAGTTCCAGGACAACCCCTGCTCTGGGTGACTGCATCACCATAGGGCACGCTTCACTTTGGTCAGGAAAATTTGCCAGCCGACCAGAGATACCCAACTATTTTCAGGGAGGGAAAAAAAAAAAAAAAAAAAAAAAAAAAAAAAAAAGTGTAAGGGCTTCTGATGGTATTGGGTCCACTGCACAGCTGGAGCCCTAATACTGACATCTCACTTACAGAAAGGGACCGACTGGATTGCAGAACCACCACCCTGTAATGTTCAGGATATTGTCTTCTAGAAGCAGAGTTTTTGTGATCTGTGGACTGAAGATAAATAGCCTAGGAAGAGCAAATTAAATTTGTCTAAATTTAGACGCTAACCTACCGACCTTAGCCAAAGTTGTGCTTGAACAAGATTTTCCATAAGGAAAGTTCCTATAGGTGCCATAAAAACAGCAGATAGTCTGAATAGGTCACCACAAGGCAAGACCCTGCTTTGAAAATATGGTTTCCCTCAATCTTCACTGCAAGCTTCAAACTTCTGGTATGTCTGCCCAATGGGAATGTGGAGACAAGCATCTCTCAAGTCGATGGCTGCCATGAATGTTACCTGTAGCACGTTTTTCACCCAAAATCTTTAGTATCAGTCTTGCTGAGAAGCCTCAATTTTAGACTCAATCAAAATTTCTGACATTTTACTACAAATACATGTGAATAAAAGCCTTTGCCCCACTCCTTAGGCTCTGGAATCAAAACTCCTTGATCCATTTCCCCAAGGAGTAGCAGAAGGGCCACCGCTTTTTCGGAATCTTTGGGCACGAGTTAAAAATCCTGCCAGAGGTTCTGCATCAAACTCTAGAGCGTAACACTTGCCAATCATGTTGAGGACACAATTTGCTGCATGTTATCTTTTGCCACCATGGTAAGGTGGCCCCCAAAAGTACGGAGCACTGAAAAGGATATTACCCTTTGGCTTGGCTTTATCCCCTGTGCTTCTTTGATTGCTCATTTTTCTCCATCTGTTGATGGTCTCTTGGTCCACTTTTGTGAATGTTTTTCTTTTGTCTGCAGGAAAGGCCTTCCTTTCTTTCTAGAACTGTATCAAGACACGATCCAAAGAGGAGATCTCTGGAGAAGGGAAGATTACACAGCCCTAGCTGTGAAGCTGAATCTCCCAACCAAAAAAAAAAAAAAGTTTGTTCATGTGTGTTCTTCAATTTGGTCCCCCAGCATCTTGAGAGTCTACTGCACACAGTGCCTAGTTGCAGCATCCAAAAATTATGCCAGAACCACGCCCCCATCTATATCATCCCTACCACAAATGATACCCAGCGACATCTGGACAAATTGACATCACTTCTGGCCCAGGCTGTCCAGGAGCAATTCCTTTTAAGATCTGAGGGCAATGCATTTCCTGAGCTGTTGGGAGGAGCTTCATCTCTAGGGCTGTCCTGGAAGACGACTGGGGATCCTCCAGGTCATCCACCTGCTCTGCTCCGATAAACAGAATCGGCCTCGTGTGAAAGGGGCCTACAAAAAGGCACCAATTCGGAGAGGAGACTGGCGGACATAATGGCAACCAAAAAGGTACAGTATTGGCGATATTATGCCTGATCGGTCCAAAGGGAGGCCTTTTGAAAGAACCAAAATTTAGGACCCAGGGAGACACATGCGACTTAAGCAAGAGGGGTTAACATGAGCCACACCTTGTATAAAAAGGTCTCCCATATACCGGTTATGTGCTCATGTGGCACACAGATTAGTCCTGTCAATTTAAGGTGCTCCTCACGACAACTCGTTAGGTTTATAAAAAGACGCCTGTCCACAGAATCTCTTCTATTCAAACCCCATTACCATGGGCAAGACCAAAAGAGCTTGTCAAAAGGAAGTCAGGAACAAGATTGTAAACCTGCATAAGGCTAGAATGGGCTACAAGACCATCAGCAAGAAGCATGGTGAGAAGGAGACAACTTTTGGTGCAATCATTCACCAATGGAAGTAATACAAAATAACAAAATCGCCCTCAGTCTGGAGCTCCATGCAAGATTTCACCTCATGGGGTAAGGATGACCATGAGAAAAGTGAGGGATCAGCCCAGATATACATGGGAGGTGGTTGGTCCCAACTGCCTTGAGATCACACAGTCCTCAAAACAAACCCCATTGGTAACAATACCTCACCATGGTTTGAAATCCTGCAGTGCCTGCAAGGTCCCCCTCAAGAAGGCACATGTACAGGCCTGTCTGAAGTTTGCTAATGAACATCTAAAGGATTCAGAGAAGGATTGGGAGAAAGTGCTATGGTCAGATGAGATCAAAATTGAGCTCTGACATTAACTCGACTCGCCGTGTCCACAACGTTCTTTCAACCAGGGAACGAAAGTATAGCGGGGAGGTGGTTAAAGGAAGACGCACAATTAAGGGATATAATGAAAAGGAGAGGAAATATATTCATTCAAGGAATTGAAAAATAAAAAAGTTATTCACTAGATTTGATGAGTGGCGTTATTTTTAGTTAAAACATTTTGTCGGGAAGCTCCCCAAATCTTTAAGAACAAAGGATAAATGGAATCCATAAATGGAACTGGGGAAGGGGTAGAGAAAATGTAAATTAGTTTATGTATATGTTAAATTATTAGACATAAATATGTTCTCTTTTTTAGTGAATGTAAAATTTAAAAAAACAAAAAAAACTCGCCTCGCTGTGTTTGGGGGAAGGAAAATGCTGACTATGACCCTAAGAACACTATCCCTACAGTCAAGCACGGAGGTGGAAACATTATACTTTGGGGCCGTTTCTCTGCTAAAGGTACAGGCTGACTTTGCCGCATTGAGGGGCCAATAGATGGTGCAATGTATTGTAAAATCTGGCATGAGAACCTTCTACCCTCAGCCAGGACACTGAAGATGGGTTGTGGATGGGTCTACCAGCATGACAGTGACCCAAAAAAATACCATCAAGGCAACAAAGGAGTGGCTTAAGGAGAAGCACAATAGAAGGTCATGGAGTGGCCTAGCCAGTCTCCAGACCTTAATCCGATAAAAAAAATTTGTGGAGGGAGCTCAAAGAGTTGCCAAGCAACAGCCAAGAAATCTTAAGGATTTCGAAAAGAAGATCTGTAAAGAAGAGTGAACCAAAATCCCTCCTGAGATGTGTGCAAACCTGGTAAACAAATACAAGAAAGGACTTACCTCTGTTTGCCAACAAGGGTATTTCCACCAAGTACAAAGGCATGTTTTCCTTGGGGATCAAATACTTATTTTTACTGACTGAACTGCAACTCAATTTATACCATTTGTATTAGGTTTTTTTTTTCTTGATTTTTGGTTGATATTCTGTCTCTAATCATTCAAAATACGCCCATGATAAATTATAGACCATTCATTTCTTGGCAAGTGGGAAAACTTACAAAATCTGAAGGGGATCAAATCATTATTTTCCCCAATGCAGATACTATTAATAAAGGCTTGATAACATCTACTGAACAATTTTGACTTGAACTTTCTTTTGAGAAACTTAAATTGGTAGGTTTAGTTCCACTTTAAAGCATCCTCTGACTTTCTAGCCAAGTGGGAGGGTACATTCACACCAGGTGCAGTGGAACTGTGTTTGGGCAGCTATTCCAGCACAGTCCCACTGAAGACGAGGCAAAAATGAACAGCATCAGCACTGTAAACACAGCTGTTGTGAGTGGGCCCTCAGGCTAAGAGCATTGGAAGAACTATGCCTAGGTTCCCAGACAAACTGTCCAATATTGTTAATCAAGCATCTGTTTCATAGAAAATGGCGAGCTACTTTCAGAATCTAATCAGATTTATGCAAAACTGATGGTCAAATTCACTGCTCCAATGTCTTCAGAAAAGTCATAATCAACACAGAGTGTTCTGTGTGGTGCATGAACTTGTCATCCTCAGACAGCACGCAATTTAGGCACAGTATTTGATGTTTTACCTGGATGACTAGAGGTTTTAACTGGGTGGCTTCAGGCCCCTCAAGGATACAGCCAAATGCCATGACTGCAGCATCCCTGTATCGCCAATCTGGGTTCTTAATGTGCTCTTTGATGAATGGCAGTACATGGGGCACAATATCATCCTCACAGCATGTAGCCAGCAGCATGAGACACACTCCAGCAGCCTTACAGGGATTCCAGTCATCGTCGTCATCATTCTCATCCTGAAAGAAAATGACAGGATAAGTTAAAATAGACTGTAATGCTTTAAAAATAGATAGCGCTATAAGGCTATAAACCGTTAGGGGTCTCAAATTTTCCGAAATACATTCCTACCAACCTGTTTTGTTAACGTCTGTGTCAGAATGGGGACCAAGTATTGCAAAGCCCCCTTCGCATAAAATTTGCTTGTATGTTCTGGAGGTCTTCCCTGTTCAGCTGCCTGGAAAAGAGAAAGAATAACTGCTAATACATTTCATACCCAACACTATGTATTCGTGATCAGACTGTACAGAAATGTTAGTCAAGCTAATTATTTAGCAAGTCAGGCTGATGACTTAGAACACTGTGGATGTCCAGTTTCTACTGACAGACTCCTTGTCAGCTAGGACAGGAAACTTCCAATAAAGAACCTAAAGCACACTGAGCAAAAAAGTTTTTGTATTCTCCAAAATACTTTCATGGGTCCACTGAGGGACACAGCAGTCTTCGACTCTTTAGGTTATACTATTGTATACAAAAGGATTGGATACTAGCAAAATAAAATAAAAATGCATCAACTAACCCAGGATAATCACTCTGAATACCAGCACGCCTTAAACTTGTAGCAAAGCCATACCAAAAGCATCAGAGTGGGACTTGATTATACTTCAAAAAAAAAAAATAGATGACAAATGTTCTTTCGCCCAGGGAAAAAGGAAGTCTTAAACCTTCAGATGCCCAAAAGCAATCCAATTGAGGGGCGGGCAACACAGCAAACAGCCATTAACAAGCCTGAGAAAAATGCCAGAGGCGGTCTGCAGTTCAAAAATCAACCCGAAGGAACTTGTACCAAAAACTGCTAATCAGATGAGGCCAAGACATCTCCCCGGAATAAGTGAGAATATGCACAGATAAACCGGTGACAGAATTACAATTTTGTTTTGCTCTACAAAAAAGGTGTCCCTGTGCACCTTCATTCAGTTGGGGGGGGGGGGGTATTTAGGGGGAACTAATTCAGGTGTAGATGTGGTGGGCTGCACTAATTTTCTTTTAGTCCAAGTTGCTGAAAAAAAGATTAAGATTCCCACAGCCCAAACCGAATCTCCATATTAAAAAGAGAAATTTCCTTTTGCTGGACAGAGGGAAGAACGTCCTGGACAAGGTCAAAGTGCACAACTACCTTAGGGAAAAAGGTGGCCCTAGGCCTCACTATCACCTTGTCCCTACGCAGATCCTCAAAGGTTTCTTGCAGGAGAAGGCCACAAGGGTGGAAGGAATGGATGTCTGGGAACACCATGAAAGAGGCTATGAGCCCCAGCTCCCTCATGTAAAAAGCTAAGAGTTTGCGCAATTCCTGGACTGAAAAGAATAACTCTGGGAGTAGAGTTAAAAGCTTCTAGGAAGAATTTGCTTGACCAGGATCTATAACACCCAGACATTCCAAGCGAGGAGTCTCTTCCAACACAGACGTTTGAAGGTTCATGACCCAGCTGAAAGGGTCTAAATGGTTTGAGCTACATTGCTGGTCAAAACTCAGCTGACTGCTCCCTCAACAGGTGGTTATCCAGAATTCCCAAAATAGGCTTGCCCTGGGAGCCTATCAAGTATACCACAGGATACATAACCTTGGTTAACACTTAAGTTGAAGAGGGTAAGCTAAATGGCAGGACCACAAATATGCTGAGGACCCAAAGCAAAAGCTAAAAAGACCCCAGAGAGTAGAAAGTCTTCCTGATAGCTATGACAGACCTGGTGGAGTTTTGGAGCTTAAATGAAAAACGTTTAGGGCCTTGAGATCTAAAATGAGGCAGATGCCCTCTTCAGGTTTGGAAATTGTGAACAGGTCAGATTAAGAAACCCACTGACTGTTCTGCAAGTGACTGGGGAACAGACACCCCACCCAGGAAAACCAATGCGGGCTGCATGGAGATTTCCTAATCTGTGCAGAAGCTTGGAAGACAAACCAAGGAGGGTCTGAAAGTGGAATTCTAGCATGCTGCTCCTGAAACCATCTGAGATGCTGGATGCCTAGACTGTTAAGGGCTGATACATTTTTCCACACTGCAGAAAGTAGGGGGTGCCACCTCAGGCTGAAAACTTATTCAAGTGCCTGGGGAACTTGAAATCCAGGTTGTGTGAGATAGGACTGGCTTTAGAGGTTAGCCTTCAAGGAGGAGCTCCCAGGGCGTCTTCTGCTGGGCATCCTTTCCCCAGTGACATGCTTAAGATATCCATGATAACTCCTAAGAAACCGAATGCTGTCCCTTGAAAGACATGTGCATCAGGCACTATTCGCACGCCAGTTCAAAGTTACGGGCACAAGTGCCAAACACGCTAAAAGGATCAGTTTTAGAAAACTTGTTGAAGGGGGTCCTTAGTCAAAAGTACACTTTCCACAGGACGGTTAGGCATTTGTTAGATTTGTAACTGCTAGGTACATAGCAAGGGTAGCTTTTTTTTTTTTTTTTTTTTAAACAAACGTTTTCCTGAAAAACACACAAAACCCAAACCACCACACACTAAGAGAAAGTCACTGAAAGCAGTAATATAGCCATTACCTCAGATGCTTCAATTGCCAGGTCCATTTCCTCATCACAAACGTTGGACCAGAACTCAATTCCCTGCAGAGCAACTTCATCAATTTCATTCTTCATTGCCTCCACAGTGATCTGCAGAACACAAAGTTGTCACCTAACGCTCTCACCTCAAAACTAAAAGTGGCACCTGGTTATGGTCCCATACTCACAGCAAACAGTGCAGGACCCATGTATGTTTCCATATATTGATAGTACAAGGACATAATCTTCACCAGGTTTTGTAATGCAGCCACTCGTACCTACAAAAAAGGACACGAAGAATACAGGAATAAAATAACCAGTGAAGAAAACTGCTACATGGATGTTGAGGGAAAAACACAAAAACAAAAAAAACACAACAAACTTACCCTAGTATCAGGGCATTGTGTTGCTTCACAGACCACTTGCATTATATAGTGCCTTTCAGCCTTGAAAAGAAAAATAAATGTAATTAACATACGAGAAAAAAACCCCCACAAAGCAGTGTTTCTCATGTTCAGCTGTTACTTCCGTAATATCATGCCTTATCTATCTCATATCTCTTAAATTCACAAAGATGTACAACAGTTATTGCCCATTCTGTAAGCATTTTAAAACTACTAGTGGTTTTGTACGACTTGTTTTTTTTCAGTTCCGTTGAACAACATCAATGGTAATGTTGAGGTGATGAGAACTGGAAGCACTGAAAAAAAGTTTAGAAAACAGGGCTTTCAGCAGACAAGTGTTAAATTCACTCGGAAAAATAAGATTACACGTAAGAGAATTAGGTTTGTGAAATAAACATTAAAAGAGAAAATCAAAAGGGATATAAAGCACTGTTATATATTTTAGTGAACAAAGTTTGTCGAAATTACAAAGTTGACAAAAACAACAAAAAATGCTATCGATTTTTAGAGCAAAACATTACTACAGGTATTCTTACATTTAGTAGTCCTGAGACAATGAGACTCCTTATATTGGTCTGCACCAAAACTACCTCCTCGTTGTGCTCGATACTGCACTTCAAAAATGGTCTTGTTTTACAATACAAAAACATCTAACAAGATGAGTGAAACACCAGTGCTCAACTTTTAATAGCCACAGTAATTGTATGGAATGTGAAGTCTAGTGGGATTATTCCCCAATAAACCAAGGTAGAATGTGATTCAATATGCAAGCATCAACTGAAAAGTGAATCGGTTAAGGGTCCCATTGACATTTGGCAACTTGGAATTGCAGACGATTCTGCTTGCAATTCCAAATTATTTGGTAATGGCTGCAAAACGTGCAATGTGGATTTCGGGTACCGTTCATTCTAAAATGGCAACCCAAATACAGAGCCATTTTGCTGTAATAGTCAATCACTGGAAAAAAAAAAAAAAAAAAAAACACCACACAACAGAATCACATGAAGCCTGTTGCCCAAAGAGTAAAAGCTTCATTGGGGCGGAAAACACACATAGGGCAGCCCATTAAAAAGTGAATGGTATGAACAGGAGCCAGGCGCTGTGTAGTTTTGTGATAGAAATAATACACCTTGTATGGAGGTGTGTCTTTAATAAGTCATATGGTAAAACAATAATAAATAACCAGCCTGTGGCTTTAGGAAGCCAGGTTCCAAGATGGACGGCCCGTCCGCTCAGAGGGAAGCAGTGGAGTAGAATGCCTGTCAGTGCAGGGACCACGTTTACCCGACGTCCCAGCGTCCTGGATGACGTCACCACGATGTGGAGAGACAGAGGGGGGAACTCTTGCTGGAGCCGCAGCTTTAGAAGGAAGAGGCCGGTTGCTGGGACAACATGTTTCGCGCGCATGCGCGAAAACATGTTGTCCCAGCAACAGTAAAACAGACTTGACAAAGCGCATGCGCGCGAAACATGTTGTCCCAGCAACCGGCCTCTTCCTTCTAAAGCTGCGGCTCCAGCAAGAGTTCCCCCCTCTGTCTCTCCACATCGTGGTGACATCATCCAGGACGCTGGGACGTCGGGTAAACGTGGTCCCTGCACTGACAGGCATTCTACTCCACTGCTTCCCTCTGAGCGGACGGGCCGTCCATCTTGGAACCTGGCTTCCTAAAGCCACAGGCTGGTTATTTATTATTGTTTTACCATATGACTTATTAAAGACACACCTCCATACAAGGTGTATTATTTCTATCACAAAACTACACAGCGCCTGGCTCCTGTTCATACCTCCCACAAACCGATGTGTTTTTACCATGGCAGCAGTGAGTTTTTTCCCCACCAATCATAGTTGACATATACCATTCACTTATTTCCTTTGGGACACATCTGTGCGCTTTTATCCAGACCATTAAAGTGAATGGGCTACCCTACGCGAGACATGCAGAATCCTGTGAATATAAGAGCAAGAACGTGTCTTCCCGCTACCAAAGTATGAATGGGGCCCTAAGGTCAACTCACCATATGTAGCAGGTATGAGGATATAAGATTTTGGTGCAGTAGCAAGGTTCTCAAGGCCTTTTGCAATTCCTTGGCTTTCATCCCAATTTTGTAGCTCAATTATGTCATGGCCTTCCCACAATCTAACAAAATGTCTTCGCACCAGAAGAGGGATGACCACATTGCAAAGCTCCTCTCCTTGTATAATTGCCAGGTTCTGTGTAACAAACAGGACTGCAAACCGTGCCTCTCTGGGCACAGGAAAAGGACCTTGTCTTATCCGATTTGCGGGGCTGCTGTTGGATATAGTTGGTTAATAGAAATGTCCATTTTTAACCCTAGGCTATGGCAGATCAGCTGTTCGAAAATTTAAGACATTTCAGGTCATACTTTAATCTCCTAAGCAGGAAAAAAAATTCAAGCTCCAACTAAAGTGCTGACAAAGAGGTTACTTCAGCAGTCAGTGAGGAAATTACAAACATGCAGCAGAGTTTGGCCATGATAAATCCATCAGACTGTTTCAATGAACAGAACAATAGCCAGTCCAAGCATTACAACTATCTGCTGCAAGCTCAGCAATTCCACAAATTCTCTATAGCACATCCATAGCTCTGAATTCCCCGGCATTAAAATTACTACAGAATAAGACTGATGTTGCAGGTAAAATACAAACACTTATCCTTTCTCACCTCTTTGTCAAAGTTAGATTTTGTGAACTCCAGAGAGTTGAGCAGAGCATTTGTTGCTGCTAGCCTGACATTGTTGCTTGGCTCTTCTTTTCTCATACCCTGGATGATAGCAGTCAAGATTTCATTTGATTTATGTTGCAGTTGCTCTGGATCCTAAAACATAAGAAATGAAGAAAAATACTATTAGCTCACACATTAGAAAGCATCACACTGGAATGAAGACTCAAATTATCAGAGAAACCTCTAGCTATTGCACAGTGAAAAGCAACCAGCCAGTACAAAAACGACACTGCAAAAAAAAAAAAAAAAAAAAAAAAAAAAAAAAACTTTGAAAATATCAGATCTCAATGTGGAAGAAACAACGTGCTGGATATCTATACCGATATGGACTGGGTAATCTGTTAGGAACGCAAGGATGCCCCATCATTTGATGGAAATGAAACATTATCAACCTACAGAGGACTGAATTCAAAAGGAAGTCTGAAAAATCAAAAGTGAAAAAAAAAAAAAAAATGATGCAGCAGGCTAGTCCATTTTGCTGAAATTTCATTGCAGCAACTCAGAACAACGCAACAACATCACAGCATGCTCCCAATGAGACAGCGGATAGTGTCCTGGGGTATTTCCTCCCAGATCTGGACCAGGGCATCACTGAGCTCCTGGATAGTCTGAGGTGCAACCCGGTGGCGTCGGACGAACCGAAACACGATATCCCAGAGGTGTTCTATTGGATTTAGGTCAGGCGAGCATGGAGGCCATCAAAGGCATCAATTCCTTCATCCTTCATTAACTGCTTGAATACGCTCACCACAAGGCCGGGCACCAGGAGGAACCCAGGACCCACTGCGCCAGTGTAGGGTTGGACAACGGGTCAAGGATTTCATCCCGATACCTAATGGCAGTCAGGGTGCCACTGTCTAGCCTGTAGAGGTCTGTGTGTCCCTCCATGGATATGCCTCCCCAGTCACTGACCCACCACCAAACCGGTCATGTTGAACGATGTTCCAGGCAGCATAATGTTCTCCACGGCTTCTCCAGATCCTTTCACGTCTGTGACATGCTCAGGGTGAACCTGCTCTCATCTGTGAGAAGCACAGGGCGCCAGTGGCAGACCTGCCAATTCTGGTGTTCAATGCCAATCGAGCTCTATGGTGCCGAACAGTGAGCACCGAGCCCACTAGAGGATGTCGGGCCCTCAGGCCACCCTCATGAAATCTGATTGTTTGGTCAGACATTCACACCAGTGGCTTGCTGGAGGTCATTTTGTAGGGCTCTGGCAATGCTCATCCTGTTCCTCCTAGCACACAGGAGAAGATACCAGTCCTGCTGATGGGCTAAGGACCTTCATAGGCCCTGTGCAGCTCTCCTAGAGCAAATACCTGTCTCCTAGCATCTCCTCCATGCTTTGAGACTGTGCTGGGAGACAGAGCAAGCCTTCTGGCAATGGCATGTATTGATGTGCCATCCTGGAGGAGTTGAACTGCCTGTGCAACCTCTGTAGGATCCAGGTATTGCCTCATGCTACTAGTAGTGACACTGGCTCTAGCCAAATGCAAAATAGCCACAAAAGAGTAGGAGGGAAAAAAAAAAAAAAAAAAAAAGTCAGTGGCCTCCAATTTTAAACCATTCCTGTGTTGGGGGTCATCTCATTGTTGTCCATCTAGTGCACTTGTTAATTTCAGTAACACCGCTGAAGCTGATTAAAACCCCCTCTGCTACTCAACTGACCAAATATCCCATGTGTTTAAATTGACTTTTTATATGCTATACTCCGACAGAAAGAAAGAAAAAAAAAAAAAAAAAAAAAAAAAAGCGTTCCTTTCATTTTTTTGAATAGTGTTGTTGAAACTGATGCAAGCAATTCTTGCGCACAGAGACCAGCATCTAAAGTCTGTTCTAAAATGTAATAAGTAGGGGTTAACTTTAGTGTGGCGGAGAAAGCCAATGACCTGCCATACTGTGAAGGAACACCACACCGAGGAAAAATACACAATTTATTTACTCACTTCATTGCCCAATTGCAGTAAGAAGAAAGCAGAAAAAAAAAAAAAAAAATCACAAACAGTGGCCCCTCCCCACAGCAAGGGTAAACAGTATGGCCAAAGCTTTTTTGCCCATGCTTCTCTTGTATGTCACAAGAGCACAATTACTTTTGTCCTCCTGTGACCCAGGTGCTTTTGTGTCCAGAAGGAACCCAGGTTGGTTATGTGGTCAGTCATTCAGGAAGCATCTTGCATTTTAATCTGACTACAAGGCTTTCGGATTGGCAGTGAAACAGGCAGATGTCAGTTGCTTCACCTTGGCCAGAGAATGCCTTGTATTTATTAAACGCAAGGTGCTTCCTGAATTGCTGATTTACCACATAACCAACACAGTATCTTTCCAGCCACAAAAGGGAGGTGTATAAGACTTGGCCAACACACAGCCCAGAATACTGTATGCAGCACAAGCTACTGCACTGTATTACTGGATCCACAGTGGCCGTACAGCTCTGAAATAAGTAACCAGTTGGACAACGCTGGCCCAATCTAAATTTTTAGAGCAAAGGAAACATGGAGTTGTTCTGCAATCATACATGTGCAATGCAGCCATGGTCCCCCATTCATTGCAAAATCCTGACCCGATCGTAGTTCACTCGAAAAGAATGAAGTCACATAGATCACTATTTTGACTGAATTGTAAAGCCACAATCTCAGTCACTATCAGATGAAATAGGGAGCTTCTTCATATTACTTCAGAGGGGGTCCAGAAAGAACTCCAGGAAGAGAATTTCTCTCAATGGAAAAACCATTAGAATTAGAAGCACTTAGGGTTTTATTTTTATCTTACTGGTAATGTGGTTCCAAACCTAGTTGACAATAGTAATCCCTTCATTGAATATCCTAAATTCCATAAAAAGTTAAAAACTTCCAAACAAATTATATAAACACACCATTATCAGGATATAGCCGATCCCCCCAGGATAGTCTTTTTTTCAAAATAAAAGCATTACACTTACAATGTCCTGACAAATATACCCAATCGCTTCCAGCGTAGATTCTTTCATGTGCTCTGTACTGTTTATGTCGGTCACGTTAGCAACAAGCTGTGGTATTAGTTGAGGCCATTGGTTGACTGGTATTTCCGCACATGCTATCCCTGCCACGCACTGTGATGCTGAACTGGGCCTGTAGCTTTCTGTTCCCAGTGTACGCAAGACCTGTAGAGCAGATACAAGTCACTTAAGACCAATTAATTATTTTCACTCAATTCTTATTCAATTATTGAATTGGTCTACTCAAAAAACTTACCAAAGCTTTGATCTCACTTCGGACATTGGAATCAATTGCCAGCCACCGTTGTTGGTACTGTGACTTCATATCCGAGTCCTTTGAGGTCAAAGAGTTCTTAATCTGTAACCCAGATGCAACTCTCGCAACCTGGCTGTTTGCAGGATTGGCCAACACTTTTGAGAGCTCCAACAGGAAAGTTGCCTGGAAAAAAAAAAAAAAAAAAAAAAGAAAAACAGTGGTAATGCAGTAAATTTCTTCACAAATTTAGGCCGAAATGTATTCTGCTACGTGTTTTTGGTTAAAATAAAAAAAAAAAATCTCAATTTTATACTAGTAACGACAGAAATCAGAAACTTATAGTGGCACTGCGATAGTGTGGCAGGCAATGAGACACTGACGCAGGGTGGGAACTGCCTAAATGACACGGATATCTCCAGCCGATCAGCGGGTTCCAGCCATAAATTGGTCAGGACCTGCTGATTGGCCTGTACTGTAGCGAATGACAGTCGGAACGGGCGCACGTGAACGCACCTCCTACCAGGAAGAGCCAGATCACGTGGGTGATCCGGCACAGTGGGCCGCTCTGCCACAGTATATCTGTGGTAGGCAGTCTTAATGTGAACAAAAGATGCTTTAATGGATACAGCATTTTAAGTTATAAGTCACTGAAGCTGACTAATTGTTTCATCTGTGGGAAGGTTCCATATGGCACCTACATTAGGTAGGCTAACAAATCGTCTGCACAACTATAGGGCATTCTGAAGAGAAATATTCCCAAAGTCTACCCAGCATCACTATTTTGGGAAGCGCTTAAATCCAGCAATAAAATTCTCCTCAATTTGCTTCAGTAAAGGATAACCACAAATAGATTTTTTTTTTTCTTTTCAAGTGTAAGAACCAATGTTGACGGACCTAGAAAAAGTTTAAATTTTATCTTTTGTAACACCTGCTAAACCCAACTGCTCCTGTCGCTTGCCAGGTTACCCCGCCTCTGTTTACTTCAGTGCCGAGACCGAATGACAGCTCTACAAATGGGGAATAGGAGCTGTGAGACCCACTTGTTAAAGGGGGCTTTTCCAGATTCTGATAAGTTGTGGGGAAGATGCCCTGGTACTCAACGTACCCTCCGTGTTGAGGGTATGCGGCCTAACATGATTTAGGATTGGACTGAACTGGTGTGTGGCCATACTTTTAAATGCTACTCCAATAGTTTAGAAGGAAGTGAACCGTAACCCCTTCCCAACACCACTTCCTGGCCCTTTAAGATGCTCTAAATGCTGAGAGGTGGAGGAAGTCACATTCATTGGACTACTGACTGGGAGCATGCAGGGCGTGCTCTGAGCAAAGAAGCCTTTACATTTGGGACGCATATCGGTGTATGGCCAGTGAGCAGAGGTTAAAAGCTGTACCCAGAGGGCAAAGGCTGGCAGAACACAAAGGATTAGTCACCACCACTGCCTGTGGGCTCCCTGCAGACAATCTAATCTGCATGGTCTCCCTGTATGCGGGCAGCTATCTTTGTAGAAATTTTCCTTCTTTACGTCAGTCTTCAACAAGGAGAACAGTGCAGCAGTGACACATTACATCACACGCCAAATCTCCTGAAACTAGCAGTCAAGCAAAGCAGTGCATTAGATCAGTGTTTTTCAACCTTTTTTGTGCAAAGGCACACTTTTTTTCATGAAAAAAATCACGAGGCACACCACCATTAGAAAATGTTAAAAAAATTTACCTCTGTGCCTATATTGACTATATATAAAGTAATTCTCTTGAATAGGAATCAAACACAAAGAAATTATTTTATAATTACTTTATTATGAAATAATAAAGTATTTTATAATTGGACCCGGGGGCCGGACCAAGAGTAGATGAATGATGTGTATGTGTCATCCATAGTAAGTATAGTAATATTCCCCCATAGTAAGCATAGTAATTAATCCCCCATATAGTAATTCATCCTCCATATAGTAATTCATCCCCCATAGTAATTCATCCCTCATATAGTATTTCATCCCCCCATATAGTATTTCATCCCCCCATATAGTATTTCATCCCCCCATATAGTATTTCATCCCTCATATAGTAATTCATCCCTCATATAGTATTTCATCCCTCATATAGTATTTCATCCCTCATATAGTATTTCATCCCCCATATAGTATTTCATCCCCCCATATAGTATTTCATCCCCTCATATAGTATTTCATCCCTCATATAGTATTTCATCCCCCCATATAGTATTTCATCCCTCATACAGTAATTCATCCCTCATATAGTAATTCATCCCCCATATAGTATTTCATCCCTCATATAGTATTTCATCCCCCCATATAGTATTTCATCCCTCATATAGTAATTCATCCCCCCATATAGTATTTCATCCCCCCCCATATAGTATTTCATCCCCCCATATAGTATTTCATCCCTCATATAGTAATTCATCCCTGATATAGTAATTCATCCCCCATATAGTATTTCATCCCCCCATATAGTATTTCATCCCTCATAAAGTAATTCATCCCTCATATAGTATTTCATCCCCCACAGTACTATTCCCCCCCCCCCCCCTCTAGTAAGCCAAGTCCCCCGTGTCAATTCACTTACCTTTTGCGTTCCTCTCGCTGTCTTCCCGCGCCGTTCGGGTCTTCAGGGCGGACTGTGAGAGGAGCCTAGCTCCCCTCCCCTCACGTTCGGCACGCTGCCCCGCCTACACACATCCTGACAGCCACATCCGCAAGCCGGATTAAAAGGTCCGCGCGGACTTTTGGGGCTGCCAACCGAGAGGAGGCAGGGGAGCGGCCGCGGCCGACCGAGAGGAGGGAGGGGAGCAGGCGCCCGGCACACAGAAGAGCCCGCATTAGACTGGGTAAAGAGCCGCATGTGGCTCGCGAGCCGCGGCTTGCCGACCACTGAATCATTAGATTCTAATGATTGGTCTATTTGTGAGCCGAAGCCACATGTTACAGATGAAATTGGAATTTTTCCCACGGCACCCAGAGAATATCTCACGGCACACTAGTGTGCCGCGGCACAGTGGTTGAAAAACGCTGCATTAGATCCTACACTGTAAATATACAGCTATGAGGCTGTAGACACAAGAGGCCAAAGAACACCAGCATACCAGGAAGTGCAATACTATATTTCAGAAGCAACTCAAGACAAAGGTACTGTTCAGGCAGAATTAACACTTTAAGAAGTTCCCTATAAGATGGCATATGAAGAGTCGGTTAACAGCAGTGTCCAGAATTGTGGAAGAGATTTGACTCCCCACAACCAGCATTCAACAGGCTCACCAACACACAAAGCCATTTATACTTCAACCAGCTGGACTTTGTCAACCTGCACTGGTGGCACCGGAGTGTTTTAACAAGCTGTAGAGACAAGGAGTACATTACATATTACTTTGACACTCAAGTTAAATATCTCGACTGATACGGGTATTGAAACAGGTCTCTAACAGCAAGTCAGAATAAAATGGTGGTCATGGACACTAAAGACGGGGTGTTCAGGAGCCTTTCCGCACAGCAGCAGTGCGGCTGCTGGAGGGGGGCGTAAACTTTGGCTCTGTTGCAGGTAAGCAGCAGAGCTGGAATTTTTTTTTTTTTGGATGTTGGAACTGGGGTCAGCTGCCCAGCACCCGCATGTCCATGGCATTGGGCAGGGGTGCTTATGAATGGTGCCAGCGGTGGCTGGGCTGGCAGGGGCACTGGAGCAAGGATGCGGATTCTGGTCGCCTGGCATTTGTCAAACACTGATGTAACGTGTAATGCAACTGATGTTTTCATGCGTAGGAGCCCCGACATGTGTGTTTACATTTTTACGTACATATATCTAGGGGTGGGGGGTCCTCAATATTTTTTGAGGGGGGGGGGGTTTACACGCTTTGGAGTAAATTCAATTTTTTTTTTTTTTTAAACTTACAAAGCCACCCACAACTCATTCCCGAGCTACATCACTAACCTAGTCTCTAAACACTGACCTAATCGTTCTCCCCAACACCTGCTCTCTAGCTTCCTCGTCACCTCCTGCCATATTCACCTCCAGGACTTTTCCTGAGCCGTTCCTATACTATGGAACTCCCTACCCCAATCTGTACAACCATCTCCTACTGTGTTTGCTTTCAAACGATCCCTGAAAACACTCTTCAGAGAAGCCCATTCTGCCCCACCTAACAACTGGAGTTTATTTTCTCCATCAGCTCATCCCCCACAGCTAGTACATTTTGTATCACCTGATACTCCCTCTTACATTGTAAGCCTAACGAACAGGGCCCTCTGATTCCTCCTGTATTGATTTGTATGGTAACTGTTCTGTCTGCCCTCATGCACTGCACAAACTGTTGGTGCTATATAAAAACCCTGTATAAGATTTCTTTTCCCATTACACATGGGACATTCTTTCTAACCCTTGATGGCCAGGAACAGACAATGGAGACCCAGAAGTGACATTATACAAATCGTTTCCGAGTCAGAAACAAGGGGGGGGGGGGGGGGGGGGTGCCAGCTAGAGACAGCGGGCGAGTGTCTACTCTCTTCCCTCCCTGAGTGTTTACTCTCTTCCCGACTTGTCAAACCTTAAATTTGCGCGAGCTCGTGAAATGGTGACGAACTTCAATACCCTATATTTTCTATAGGTCGACATTTTTAAAGCTCCTTATAGGTCACCAGTTTAGTGTCATGGGGGAGGTCTGGTACTAGAATTATTGCTCTCTTGCGTGCGTGGCGATATGCGACGTGTTCATGCGTAGGTGCCCCAGCATGTGTTATGTTTGTACATGCGTATATGTGGGGGCCTCAATATATTTTTTTGGGGGAGGAGATGGTATGTGCTTGGGTGTAACTTTCATTTTTACAGGAAAAAAAACACAAAAAACACCTTTTTTCTTCATCACATAGGGGACATGGAGAGGCTGGCACTGTGTGGAAGCAATCGCCGGCAGCGCTGCCACCGCATGCTTCCACCTGACAGGCGAGCCCTGCTGCTTGCCCGCAGCAGGGCTAAAAGGTAGAAAAAAAAAAAAATTCCTGACTGGTACTACATTTCCCAGGCGATAGGAATCCAAAATCGTGTGTGTTTACGACAATGATTCCACCTGACAAGAAAGCCCTGCTACTTGCCCACGCAGGGCTAAATGTTAGAAAAAAAAATTACCTGCCCAGTGCCTGGAAGTCCTGGCCATTGGGCGATAAACACATCTCTGC